ATTATTTATTTTGATTTTCTTACTGTAACCGTAGTTAAAATGAGGGAAAACTCCAAATTTAACTAAAAAATGCAACAAATAGATAATAGTTAATAGTCACTAGTTCTCTATTGTCCATTCTGGACTATATTATTGGTTTTTGGTGATGATTAGCATCAGTATGACTCTTGACCTCACAGATAATGTTAGGGTAAAGATTAAACCGTTCAGCAGGCGGTTGAGCTGTTTTGGATTTCCTCCGTTTATAAAAGCAGAAGTGAAACAAACACAACAGCCACAAATAGATGACTGGAAACTCGCAGATGCAAAAGATGTTTCATTGTTTCAAGCTAAAAAAATCAAGCAGACTTTATTTATATGCATATTTATGTGTGATTAAATGTGTTTATTGTTGTATTTGCAGGTGTTTTAGCCAGAACCCTGATCTCTTGTGTCAGCGTGACTCTGCTGTTGACAGGAGCTTCAGTTCTGTTGTTTTATACATCAGGATTCATCAAGAAACGAGGTGAAGTTAACGCTCTGCTGCTCTTCTGTGACCTGCTGCTCCTTTTACTTGCTCATATTTAAATATCATCGTCATCAGTTCATGCACATTCTCATCTGATTTCCTGGAAGAGTTGCTTTTATTTTTATATGTACAGCAGCTAATTTGAGTTTTTTCCGTTCAAATTCGGGAAGAGGGTGGCATGGTGGCTCAGTGGTTAGCACTGTGGCCTCACAGCAAGAAGGTCACTGGTCAGTTCAGGCTGAGCCAGTTGGCGTTTCTGTGTGGAGTTTGCATGTTCTCCCTGCGTTGGCATGGGTTTCCTCCAGGGGGCTCTGGTTTCCCACACAGTCCAAACACAAGCGCTTTAGGGGAATTGATGAACTAAATTGGCCTTAGTGTTAGTATGTGAGTGTGTATGGGTGTTTCCCAGAACTGGGTTGCAGCTGTAAGGGCATCCGCTGTGTAAAACATATGCTGGTTCACCAACGTAGTCTAAAATAAAGACTGAGCCAGAGAAAATTGAATGAATGAATAATTCTGGAAGACCCATCACTACCATTCCAATCTCACAAAAAAATCCCAACCCAATCCCATCTGATTAATGCAGCTTTACTGTATTGTTGTATATTCTGGCTTTTCATATCAGTTTTCCCTCATTACTGGTTTTAATCCACAGATCGTCATTCGTCCTCAGTGACAGAGACGAGCCGTGGAGAGGTGAGGATTGATTTTATAATGAAGTTCATTGTATATTTTGCTGACTGTGTTTTCCACTTGAAGCAGAACTAGATTTCAGATTACAGATCTTGTGATTTGCTTGAAAGCACATTTCATATGCAGTGCTCATTCAAAGTAGTGCAGATAGAAAACCTAAAAAAATCAGAAACAAAAAAAAACAAGCTAAAGCAGAGAATTATAAAAAAAAAAATTATAATTTAGAATAAATACTAATATTATATATAAAATAACATAACATTGCAATGAAATAATAATAATAAAATACATAGAAATGTACTTACAAATAATAGCTGAAAAACACTCAAAATAAAACTAAATAAGAGGTAAATGTTTGATCATTTGCAATGCAAAACAAAAACATAATATTATATGCACTTTAAACAATTACAAAATCAGAGCTTGTTATGCAAAATCTGTTTTTTAATTAAATATTATTATTATTAAGCAAATTTCATATGAAGTAGTAATTCAAAGTGATAAAATAATAAAATAAATAGTGATAAAAAGGATGAAAAGAATAATCACAAAATGATCCCTTATCACATTTTTATTATTATAGCTATTATTTGTATTAATATTATTATTTTAATTATTTTTATTATTAATGTTATTTTTATTATTATTATTATTATTATTATTATTATTGCTATTATTATTATTATTATTATTATTGCTATTACTGTTATTATTATTGCTATTATCATTATTATTATTACTAATAATAGTAATAATATTAATAAATCAAAATATAAAAATGATCAAAATGTATATTATTGCAATAAAATTGTATTACATTTTATATTAGTCAGTAAAATAAAATATAATTAACTAAATTAATTTATTTATAATATTTATTTAGCAATTAAGATAACACAACACTAAAAGTTGCTGAAGTATTGGTGAAAATCAATGCTGTGCTTCTCTTTTAGCACATATTTATTATAATATAAATCACAGCCTTTGCGATTTCCCTTTAATTTGTGCATCAGTTTCCCTTTGTCCTTTGTTTTCAGGCTTCTCAAGCTGGGTGTGAATATGAGAACATCACATACGTCAAACAGCATTTAGCATCAGGAACTGAGGAAACTGTGTTATATTCCACTGTTAATCGTCCCACAGACTCTTCTGACGCACACGAAATGCTCTACTCAACAGTACAGCTTCCCAAAAACTCCTCTGACGAGATCCTGTACTCCTCTGTCCGTTTCCAGAAGCACAAAGAGTCTGACAGTGAAGCGGAAGTCTTCCTGAATGATGAGCTTTACTGTGATTACACCACGGTCAGACAGCAGTCCTGATCACTGATTTGATGAACACTAGAGACACCTGCTGGACAAAACCCTGTAAATACAGCAAAACATGCGTTAAAAATGACTTTTTATACACTGCATAACCTATTAGACTCAATTAGCTATTCATCTAACATAAAAATCATTAATTGATCAATTTTCAAGACTTTAATGAACTTTTTAAAGGGTTTAATCGCAATAGTGTGTGTGTCAGCAGTGTGTGAGTATCTCTAGCTCCCTCTAATGGTCAACAGTAGTGAATTGTCTTTGTTCTAATCAGACTTGATGCAGAAACACTTTGATTGACATGTTCCCTTTGTATGTGTCATCAGAGGGGGAAAGCCCCACCCACTAGTGCCCATCTCTTTATCTCATTAGCATCTCCAGCAGCCCTGAGTGAGAAGCAGCCGTCTGTCCATTAGCCATTAGAGTGCTTCAGCTGCTGAAGATGATGTCAGCACAGACTAGGAGGATTATAGATGTGGAGTTTTAGATGCAGCACAAATGAAGAGTGACAGGAGTGACATAGACTGACAGAAGCAGGAAGCACACTTGCACACCAGACCAGCATGGATAATGCTAGTCCTGTTTTGAATCTGCCATTATGCTGACGCACAGGCATTTGTAGCTCCGCCCACTTTTGAAAAGAGCACAACCTCATTTGAATTTAAAGCAACAATCAAAACACCACAAATATTGTATGTACATGGTGCAGTAAAGCTTAATGAGTTGCCCTCTTGCATCCTTCAGACCTTGAAAGACTTTATCAGGTTTGAGCAGAGCTAAAAGAAAACCTGGAAAACGTGAACACTTATGTTGTGATTTTAGTTGATGAAACTGTCGTGTTCATGTTCTGTGAGAGTTTGTCGCCCTCTACTGTTTCAGCATTAAACCTGCAGTTTAAACCACCTCCAAGTCAGCGGTGTTCCTCTGTGATTAATCAGAAAAAGTGCTTTTGTAATCATAGCTAAAAAACTCCAAATGGATAATTCTGGTTCACTAGCACCATTTTTAGCATAAAAAAGTGGAAATTAAATCAGAATTAACTTCATATTTAATATTGATATTTTTCCCAAGGTGTATATTATGAAAGGTTTTTCATTCATTTACTTTTCAGATTACTCCCTTTATTAATCTGGGGTCGCCACAGCGGAATGAACCGCTAACGTATCCAGCATGTTTTACACAACAGATTCCCTTCTAGCAGCAACCCATCGCTGGGAACATCCATACACACTCATTCACAAACATACACTCCTGTACTGCATGTGTTTGGACTGTGGGGGAAACCAGAGCACCCGGAGGAAACCCACGCCAACACTGGGGGAACATGCAAACTCCACACAGAAACGCCAACTGAGCCAGCCGGGGGACCAGTGACCTTCTTGCTGTGAGGCGATTGAGCTGCCCCTATGAAAGGTTTTAATTTATTCAATTTTTTTTTTAGCGAGCCTGGCTGAATATTTCATTCGTCAATCTAGTTGACGTGTGTTTCCTGGTACTGGGTTGCAGCCGGAAGGACATCTGCTGTGAAAACACATATGCTGGAATAATTATCGGTTCATTCCGCTGGGGCGACCCTTGATGAATAAAGGGACTAAACCGAAACAAAATAAAAAAGAATGTTGATGCACTTCAACCTGAAACTGAATATTAAGTAGGGGGCGGGGCTTTCTTTTTGCACATCATTCCCTCATAGCAAACTAACAATGAGAGGGCGTGGCTAAAAATATCGCAACAGAGATAAAGCCAATCCAAAACAAAACACCAACACATTCTTTTCATTGCATGAACACAGATTATCTGTTCAACTAAACAATGTTAATGTGCGCTATGTTTTATTATGGTTATTTTTTTATTTGATGTATTTATTTTTTATTTCTATTCTTATTATTTCTATTTTTATTTTTCTATTTATATTTTTTCATACATTTTTATCTTCCAATTGAAACTGAATATTGAGTAGGGGGTGGGGCTTTCTTTTTGCACGTCATTCCCTCATGGCAAACGAATGATGAGAGGGGTGTGGCTAAAAAACATTGCATTTGAAGCATCAATCTGACATCAACACAGACGAAGCCAATCCTTAACAAAACACTTACCAAAACGGTGGATTATTTCAGTGGATTAATTTGCACAGATCATCTGTTCAACTACAGAATATCAGCGTGCGCTAGCAAAACAAACATTGTGAATTTTGATTTCACGCTGACTTTATTCTTGACACCTATGAATAGAAGTGTAAAAGGACTGAGAGAAAAAGTCAGGGATACAAACCAATAAACCAGTCAATGTCAACAGTTTGAACAGAAAATATATATCATTTCAGGAATATCTTAATTTGACTTTCTTTATTATTTATTTAATTTTTTATTATTTAATATATGGCGGTTCATTCCGCCGTGGCGACCTCTGATAAATCAGAGACTAAGCTGAAATAAAATGAATGAAAGAATGAAAAAGAATTTTATTTGATGTATTTATATTTTATTTTTGAATCTGCGTGAGCACGATAACAGTCAGTGGTTTAGTGAGTCAGAATCAGCAGCAGTTTATTTCATCACAGCAGTGAGTTGAGAGGAGGAAAGGGAAGAGGTGGAGCTGACTATAAACCTAGTATATTTCAAGAGTACAAGACAGCAGAGAAAAGCAGCAGATAAACTCATGCCAGAAAACTTCTGACAGCAGAAGAACTCACTAATTTACAAGAGCTGGAGTATATGATGATGACGATGATGATGATGATGATGATGATGAAGACATTTCTGTTCTTTACTATCTTCCTGATTGAAGGTAAGATGCATGTTCATGTACAGCATCACATCTTATATGAAGGCAGATTTCTACTGAGCTCAAATCATGTGTGTGTGTTTACGTCTGGTCTTTATTGTGCATTGTTTTTTAAATGTATTGTTATTAGGTCAAGAGGCTCTTAATAGAGGAAGTGTATTTTTATTGACAGGTCACATGGGCGATGAGGCTGTTAGTGTGACTGGCGTTGCAGGCGGAAGTGTCATCTTCAACTTTCAATACAAAGACAAAATAAGTGTGGAGAGGTTTTGCAGAGATGCAGATGACGAATGTATTCAAGCACAGAGTCATTTATGGCTCCCAGAGGAGAAACTCACCATGACTGACAATAAATCTGTGAACTATCTTAGTGTGCTCATCAGAAACCTGACCGTCAATGACAGTGGAACTTATGAATGGAAAGACAACAAGGACTGGTCTAAGGAGGTGAAGTTAGTTGTTCAACAAGGTAAGAATATTCACATATTTACAATGGGTCTTGATTATCAAACATGAGCAGAGTGGGGGGATTTGTGTATGTGTGTGTGTTTGTTTTTATTACATGGTGGGGACCTCAGCATGTTAGCACACTCACAAAGTGGGGACCAAAAACATAGTGGGGACCGAGCTATGTTTTGCATTTAAAAGACTCAGGGGGCGTTGCTGATATGCCTAGTGCAGTTTTTTACTGATCCCCACCTTGACCATTTACCTGACTTGAGTGTTTAAGTGTGTGTCGGCGCACTGCTCGATAGCGCTCCTGTAGTCAGATGGCGGTAATGCACCCTCACACACACTTGGCGCAGTTCACACACACTCTGGCTATTGCACATGCGCAGATCTCATACATGAATCCGACTTTAATCAACTTAATTACGATCTATTATCAAATTAATCGAGGTTTTCGGGTAAGTTAGAATGTTTTTCACCATCATAATGTAATAAAATCGGTTGTGTGTGTGTGTGTGTGTGTACGTGTTTTTGTGACATCATGACACAAATCTGTATAATGACATGGGCATGACACAGGTATTACAAAAAGGAGGTGAAATATGCAACCCAGGCTCATTGTGGAAACGTAGCCTGGTCGACTGGGCGGCCGTTCACTGAATTTTGATGGACCGGCACAAAATATTACTTTTTTTTTTTCATTTGATCCGTCTTATTTTGTAGTTGAGAATTGATGAAAGTTTAGCTCTAGGTAAAGCAGCACTCGTCACCATCATTTTTAATCATTGGTCCAACCAGTAGAAGAAGGGCAGGACAAATACATCGACCAGTCCTCTTACTTTAGAACTGAATAACAAAACAGAGTTAATATTACTGGTCACTGCATTTTTATATTCATTAATATTCTTCAACTTGATACAGTAAATGTACATTACTGACGTAGATTCCAAATCATAGTAACCAAGAGCATCTCTGCTTGAAAAACGGCTTTTGCTAGAGCGGATACGTTTGCGGCCAGAAGTGAACGCGAATTATTTCTATTATTTATTAAATTTCTCATTTGTTGTATTTTATTATTAGAGTATTAGTTATGTTATCTATTAAATTACCCAATAAAATGTATTTTTTAACGCCTACCCCCTCCCCAACCCTAAACCCAACCCTCACAGTACTGTAAACATATTAATTATTGTTATACAGTGTCATAAAAAAAATGCTGCTTTATTAATGTGCATATCGCACTTCCGGCCGGAAAAAACTCAAAACAACTAATCTCATGCTCCCCCTGCTGGATGATTTAAGAAGAGCGTCTGCCATTTTGTAGCTGGATAAAAATGCTTTCTTTTATGAAATAATAAAAAGTAAAAAGTCCAAAATCTGAAACCATAAGAGAGTTTTCAGGAATGCCTGTTTCAGGAATGCCTGTTTCAAATTCAACTACTCTGAATTTATTCCTATATTTTAGATTATATTTGTTGTAATTTTTCATTTTTAAGCTCAAAGAATACAATCATATGAGAAACTAGTGACAACACAAACACAAAAAGGAAGGACCGACAAAAATAAATAAGATAAATAACGTTAATAATAACAGTAAACTAAACTCATTCAGTTATATTTAAAATCAGTTCACCAACAGGATCTGGTATGTTTTTATCTCTTCATTTATGTAACCATACATCTATGTGTTTCAGAGCCGTGTTGTGGGAGATCAGAGGAACAGACTGCGTATGTACAGGGAACTGCTGTCATCCATTGCAGATATCCAAAAACCAATCACGATTATTCCAAGCAGCTGTTCAAAGAGCAGAATGGATCACTGGAGGCTATATTTACATCTAGGGAAGCCAGTGATCCAAGATTTTCTATTAATCTGAATCATGGCGAGGAGCACTTCTTTACTGTGACTCTTACTAATGTGAGCAGACATGATGAAGGACTTTACTTCTGTGCTGCTCATGGAAAGATGTCGATTCGCTACAGTCTGCTTTTCACTGAGATTCAACTTCATGTTACAGGTGAGAAACTATTCAAAACAAAGTAAACATCAAATGCACAATTAATGTCAACTAACAATGTCATTTTAATGTCTGAACATATCATCTGTGGTCAACAATGGATGCTCGGGAACAAACAGATGCTCCAGTTCAGTCTGGTGAGTTCTTTAAAGTTTGCATGAAATCCACATCTGTTTAATTTATTAGTGCACAGTGTTAGTCTTGAGGTGAACAATTAATAAGTGCAAGTTAATACACTGGTTAAAACAGTTTTGGGAATCTTTAATCAAAGTTTTACTATTTGCTTGTACCCAGATCTATTAATTTCAACCCAGGCTCATTTTGAAAGCGTACCTCTATATACATTTCTGGAGAGCGCCAAATACATCCCAGGCTCTACTTTTTTTGTTTTCCTGAATCCAGCAGAGGCTGCTTTGTACACTTTTTTAGATCTCAAATTTCTCTCACAAGTGCCATTCACGCCTGCTGTTCTTGTGTAAATGCTCTGGAGGCCGCTGTCAACTGACTGACTGACTGACTGACTGACTGACTGACTGACTGACTGACTGATCGACTGACTGTCCTAACCCAACTGACACTGAACCATTCTGAACTGGACTCACACCTTGTCGTCGTGGTCAGGTCCTCTCTGCATCTCAAGCCGACATGCACAGCAAGCTACTGGGCAAACTGGTAACATCGGGAAAGCCGTCCATAGGGAGGTAAGCGGTCCGCTAGTAAGCGAAAAACTTAACGGAGTCATACCGCCCCATAGTGTTCATTTTAAAGACAAAATGAAGCCATACGTACTTCTGGCTACATAATTTGCGACCTTCAGAAATGTATATAGGGCTGCGTTTCAGAATGAGCTTTTGTTGATTTATTTGCTATGAGTAACAGAGAAAAGGCGGAGTTAAAAATTGTAAAACCCGCCCCCTACTTTCTATTGGAAATCAAATATATGTATTTATTCTACTTTCTCAATTTTCTACTAGTATTTATTCTAGCCTGCAGCAACATCCAGCTCATAATGACTTTATTAACACACACAAAATGTTTATACAGTGAAAAAAAAAATGACAGAACTACCTACAATTTCTTAAAGTGACAGTTCATCTAAAACTGAAACCTCTGTCATCATTGACTGCCTTCAATAGTTTCTTTCTTCTGTTGAACACAAACTAAGATATCTCATCTTTTAAAAGAGGACCAATCAAGCACAGTTTGGGCCAATCTGATGTTTCTCGAGTACTTATCCCAGGTAGCAAAGAATTCTGGCACAGCATTTGGCGTAAAGCTGGCACAGCAGGCCTTCATCTGGCATACAGCATGCGACTCAAACATGACCCTGGTTTGGCAGACATGGCACCATCTTTAAAGTAGCATACAATACTTGGGCCAGATGTCAAATGTAGTATTTGGCTCAGATGTTAATAATTGATATGTGGGCCATGTGACCCACATTTAAAATACATTTTAATTATTTTCAAATATGCAAAAAAAATACTACCAATAAGATCGCTTTTAGAAAAAGCACCCCCATAGCACGCCTAAAGCACAATGATTCATGGGTTTATAAATTTCATCGTAGTGGTGACACACCAATATACCTGGCCCAATTCAGGCTCAGTTATGAGTTATTAACTTGGCTGAGACTTGGCCCATATATGGTCCATGTTTGGCCCTTGTCTGGAAGGCAGACTTGGTCCAGTCATGTACCTTACTTCACTGCACTGTGGGCCAAGCAAAAGCTGATTGTGTGGGCCAGAGCTGGACCAGAAATATTTTGCTATGTGGGATAGATCTCCAAAAGTCTTCACTTTTAAGATTTATGAGTCTTTTATAAAAATGTAGAGAAACTTTAGGATTGTCTCCTTAAACAGTGGAGCTCCTGAATGTATGTTGTGAACCTAAAATGACTAAACTTGTCAGATTCATGACAGATTAAATGTTTAACAGAAGATCCTTCAACAGCATCAGCTTCTTCCCGGTGTTCATCCCAGAATCAGACAGTGATTTAATGCAGGATAATGAACCCTGAATACAACAAAACAGCAAACCCAAACTGCAAAAGCAGTTCCTGAAGCTGAAAATACCGAAATAATAAAATGGCAACCTAGAGTCCTGACCTAAACCTGATTGAGAATCTTTCTTGTCAATAATTGCTAATATTCACTGCTCTTTAGGACAAAGCTGTATATCCAACACAATATCACTGTAACTCAATTAGTAACTTTTTGATTTAGTGCCTAATTTAAATTAAATTAATAATTTCCTTCATACATTATAGTGTGATATGCCCATCCCCAATTGAGTAGGGTTAGAGGTGGGGTTTAGGGCCATGCCTTCATTTATAAATCATGAATTTGTACAAATCAACCACTTTTCTGCAAATATACATTAATTAGCTATTTTCTTGTGAGATCGGACTGTTTTTAATGCTGTATGTGTGTTTTCCAGATCTCTCCGTCCTCATCATTACAGTGTCTGTGTGTGTGATCCTGCTGTTCGCTGCAGGACTGAGTCTGTTTGTTCTCCGGCGGAGATGCACAAAGACAAAAGGTACAAACACACACACTGGGTTTATAAACTGAAACCAGACATGTTTCTGTAATGTTCTGGATAGGACTTTATAGTTTAAGTCAGAATCCATGCTATTAACTGCCTTATTACCCGCCTATTATTGAGATATCAACTGTTTCATTAGTAGTTATAAAGTATTTGCTGGTTCTGCATCTCTTATCCTACACTGTAAAACATTCCATGATCAATTAGTCTTGACAGCATATGTTTTAGGTCATGCTAATTTACTAAACTATGTTAATTTTGTTTTAACTTATGTTATGCAAGCTGTTTTAAGTCAGTTTAACATGATATAAGTTCATTGGACTCATACGGTTAATTTGATTCAGCTTAAAAAATGAATGCAACAAGGATTTTTTTTTCAGTGTACACAATACCTAAACACAAATACTGCCTTACTAACTATTAATAAGCAGTGAATTGGTTGTTTATGAGCTAAAAGTCTTAGTTAATAGTTTTGTTAACATGTTAGCATGTTTTCTTGTATGCTCACTTTCATTATCTTGTCTATCCACAGGTTCAAAATCTTCAGATCAGAGAAGCACAGTAGAGATTGATGAGGTAAATCTGTCTTTCACTCTTCATCTTCGCTGTTTATCTGTTTATATGACTCCTGCTGTCGCCATCACCATCTATAATTACATTTGTGTTGATTCAGAAAGATATACATCATACTCAGTTGAATATGTGTTCATTGGACTCATAATGTTAATTTGATTGAGCTTAAAAGATTTAATGCAATCAGGATTTTTTTTCAGTGTTACATCATGCTCAGTTAAAAACACAACACAAATGCTATTATCTTCCACTTTCAGATCAACTCCTCTGTTTATTACTCATCAATCAAAGAGCAGTGTGTTCAGAAGCCTGTGAGTATGAACACGGTTTATGCCACGGCACAATTACCCACAGTCCTCTCTGACAGTGATCCCTACACACTCGCTATGAAGAGCTGAATCCGCAATACACTCTCTCTGTTTATATATGTGGCCACTTTTTGTATGAAAACATGTACATCTGTATGTATTTTTGCTGGTAATAAATCAAAATAAAATTGTCTTGATAGAAAATGAACTGTTTGTGTTGCCTTTGCAAGGAATAAATGATGACGGACTGTTGAATTATTTGTAAATAATCTACACCCAGGGTGGTAAAATGTTGTTTCTATTGTAAATGTGTTTTCTATTATACTATTTGGTTGTTGAATGCTTGATTCTGATTGGCTGATGAGCGTTCTAAGGCATGCCGATATTGATAAATCACAAATAAAGTAGCTCCGGCTGATTTAGAGCACATTACATCAGCTCTTTATCACTCCGCTGATTTGAGTTTATTCACAGCTACAACAGTCAGAAATTATAACAAAACACAAGAGAAAACCCTGACTAATAAAGTCTCATATTAAACATCTCAACGGTGGAACAGCTTCGGGAACCGCCGGTGAATAAGCAGAGTTATTAGAGACCAGGCTGGAGGATTATTAGACAATATTGCACACCTGAGGTGTTTCTGCCACTCTGCTTTACCATCTAATGTGTGCATTATTTCCTAATAATTTAACAGTTTCCTTTAGGTATTAAATTGACTGGAGTCGATTGTTTTAAAGTGTAGCGGTCAGCAGAGGGCGCTCCTGCTGCAAACACACAGTAAACGTCATAGAGGGAGAGAGAGACAGAGAGAGAGAGAGAGAGAGAGAGAGAGAGACAGAGAGAGAGAGAGAGAGAGAGAGAGAGAGAGAGAGAGAGAGAGCTCTTCTAAGTTTGTCTTTTAGCTTCTCACACAGCAGAATGATCCACATCTCTGAAGATAAACTGCTCATATTCACTCTGCTGATCCTCATGGCAGGTAAGAGTTTACTCTGTTTCTAGAGCAGTGACTGCTCTCAATCAGGTCCTTTTGTGCACTGAGCTGCTCTTCTGTCTTTATTTCTTCTTAGTGGTGGATTCTGAGATGAAGACCTTCACTGGACATGAAGGAGGGAAAGTGGAGATACAGTGTTCATATGCAGAGTCTGAATATGAGGAAAATCAGAAGTATCTCTGCAGAGGAGAATGCTCAATAAATCCATTCCCATTCAATATTAAAGACATTCCTGTTGAATCTGGATCAGAACCTAAAGATAAGAGATTCTCTCTGACTGATGACACGACAGCTCACATCTTCACCATCACCATCACTGATCTCAGAACAGCAGATCAAGGAAAATACTCATGTGCTGTGAAGACAAGACTGGTAAAACTTGATGACTATAAAGAGATTTACCTGGAAATAAAACAAGGTAAGTCAGAATATACAGTTATATTAATGAAATACTGCAATACACACAGAGATAGAAATCTAACATAACACTATACTCTAATAAGATACACATATATAATGTAGTGTGTGTTTAAGTGTACTGTGTAGTGTTGTAGAGAGATGAGAAACAGAAGCCACAGTTTCCCCTTGTAATGCTGATATGACACACCAACAGAAACGCTGACCCGCATCACTTCCTCACACCACATGCGGTTGTGAATAACTGATCTACTTAAAAGTTAATTGTTTTACTATTAAGATGAAAAATATTTCAGCCATCAGACTCCTCCAAGGCATTCAGAATATTAGATGCAGAATATTAGTGATTCAAATTTGTCTTTACATGTTGACTAATGACAGTGTTTATAAGCAAAGCTACCACGACAAACTGAATCAGAAATATGTGCTATTAATCAGAGCAGTGTCTGATTAAACAGTCAGTGTCTGTTGTTTCTACTGATTTAGTGTCTCGAGTGTCTGGAGAACCTGGAAAACATCTGAGCATCACCTGCAGTTATACAAGAGATCTGAAAGAACACATCAGATTCCTCTGCAAAGGAAGTGACCCGTCCGACTGTAAGAATATGATCAAAGTTTCATCAGAAACAAAAACTAATGGCCGATTCTCTCTGACTGATGACTCTGAGAGAGTTTTCACTGTAAACATCAGAGATCTGGCAGAGGGGGATTCTGGGATATACTGGTGTGGAGCTGAAGAAAAACAAACACAAGAGTACACATGGATTTCAGCCATTGATCTGCACATTACTGAAGGTAAGATGACAATATATGTGATGTTGAAGGACATGATTCACTAAAGAGTGTTTAATTGTCTGTATATGTCACTAGTGAAAACCTTGAAACACGTCTCTGGTCAAACTGTTTGTACTACCACACCCTTCACACTGATGAAGTGTTAATAACAACTGTCAGGGGAAGTGTGAAGAGTCACATGATCTCGTGCCAAAATGCGACTGTAAAAACCAAACTGTGCACATATATTCTGACATGCATGCTCAATGCACAGAATAAACATCACTATATTTTAAAGCATCTCAACTAGTTGTATTCTTATCATATCAACAATAAATCACAGTCTTGTCATGCAATAAACTCAATCACTATTTCTGTTTCAGCCACATCTGAGCGGAGGCTTCCTAAAAATACCTCAACTGCTTCATTTCACACCAGCAAACCAGCAGATCCTGCATCCAGCAGACCCGTCACACCTTCATCACCTGCATCATCATCATCAACATCAATGTTGTCATCATGGAAAAGGCTGTGTATGATTAATTTAGTTGTTTTCCTCAGAATTATGACATTTTAAGGCATATACACATGGTTTTATTGTCTGCTTTTCCAGTGTGTACAGTGTTCATCATATTAATAACCTCAGTGATGCTGACAGTGTTTGGACTCTCAGTGTTCATCTTCCTCAGATGGAAACCACAGACAAAAGGTAACTCAAGGTCTTGTTTTCAAGTGTTTTCACTAAACTGGTCACAATGTATTTTATCCTGAATCAGGAGGAGGAAATGCTGCTCATGACCTGACTGAGAAACTGCTCAACACTGAAGAAGCTCCAGGAGTGAGTCTGTCCTCCATCTGTACAATCACCATCTCTGACGTGTGTGTATATTCTGCTGACGCTCTGTTCTCTCTTCATTCAGGACATTTATACCGTCTGTCATTATGAAGAGCTCATTCACACTGATGATCATCCTGCTGGACTGGGTTCGGGTCGTCCTGTATTTGGTGAACAGGATCCTCTGACCTGCTCCACCATCATATTTAACACTGGACTCCATTCAGACACGACTTCTGACTGACCTTCAACATCAGTCTGTGCTATAGTGAGCTCAGAGAAGACATTTAAACCATTTAAACAGCTCAACATGATGAATATCTGAGGATGTTCTTATTTCATAGCCATGATACCTGTATTATTATGTTCATTTCACATGCTAGAAAGTATTTTCTACTCGCTGCATTGCTTTATCATCCCAAAAACATAAATATGGCATCTCATTTCTTTGGCGAGCATCTCAACAGTCTTAACGCTACCAACAATTCTGTCAAAAAATATGTTGATTTTACAGTTTTTTCCTGATTTTACCTGAAATTAAACCTGCAACAATTGTGTAGCGCCCCCTGCCCTCTTAGGCTTTGTCCTGACCTAAGCTCTATAGGGTGGAGCACCGGATTCCTACAGTTTAGCCTCTCGACTATTATTTCACTCCCCCTAATCAGATACCACTTTTAGAGATCTTCAATGAATAAGTAAGCAAAACAAATTAAGTTATAAACAAATAGAAATTTATTTATAAACAAAATAAAATAAAGATGAGTATAGAGGTATTTGTTATTTATAAAGGTGATATTTTAGGTATAAATATAATTATAATGCTATTTATAATAAGATATGAATTATTAATACAACCTTATATCAATACACAATAGATAAAACACTAATTGTAAAGAGAAACAGTTATTAACCGTCAATACACACACAGTATGAGTATCCAACAACTGGACCCCAATCACTTAAGCAATAAGCATTTTACACTTTGGTGACTTGATGCACTTTTTAGACGCTCCCTTACTAAAACTATATTCACCCTTCAATGATTTAGATAACTCACAATTATTTAGTGCATTCGTATCTCAGATTATAGAATATCAAAGCAAATATTCTCTAAAAAAAAAATATAGAAATAACACCTTTTTCACTCTTTTGTAAGCGTTAACAGCAAATAAACACTTTTGCAACACTGAAATATTGAAAGTGGGCCCACTCTCACACACACACACACACACAGTCTCACCCACCCTCGATGCAGGCCTGTTATGTTGCTCGGGTGCGTAGTGGCCTTTGAAACTGCAAAATGGCCTCTTCACTCTTACAAGAGCAAAAAGAAAACACTTTAAATGTACCTGGCGTTCCTGCAGCCGTCACGATCGTCGTCCGTTCCGCGATCGTCGTTCGTCCGTTCCGCGCGATGTCGTCTGTCCCGCGATCGATGTCCCCCACCGCGAACCGTCAGTCCGATGCAGCGTCAGCACACAGCATGAACACTCCTGCCGATGCAATGAATCTGTCCTCCTGAACGAGCTTCACTCTCTTAACAGTTCACTCGCTAAAACACTGCGTCAGTCTAGTGTAGCAGACAGCTAAAACACGAGGATATGATCTCACACGAGCGTCAATGTCTTCAGCTCGCAAACGGTCTCCATATACTCGCAATTATAACACTATATGCATACACTAAGGTTCTTAAACAGCTTTAGAACACTTTAAATCAATATAAACTGTATATAACTCACGATTTGCAGTTATAACACTTAAGTTTCTCTCAGAGACAAGCCTCTGCGGTCTCGTTCTCTCGATCTTCTCCTCAACTCTCCCAATAAACCAATAATAGTTTATTCACCTATAAGAGAGGCGGGGACTAATTGGTATAGACCCAATCAGGTATTAACACACAAACTTGATAGCAAAAAGCACATTTTCACCCAAGTGCAAATCAACCAAACACTGAAATGTAGCGAACGAGTTACTTAAAGGGAAACATACCATATAACTCCTATAATAGTATGCATACTAAAATGCACTTTCTTAACAGAATAGTGGTCTGTTAATATTCTCTGTCTATTAGATTACCATAATATGAAAAATATAATTATAATCTCTGTATATTTCTATGTATAAAAATATATTATGCTCTGCTTTTAGGTGCAAGTGGGTTTAAGTAAGCTCTTTTTTAATAAGGGCTACAATTGCATTACAAGTCCAACTAACCATTAAGATAAGGCAAGTTTATTTATATAGCACAATTCACACAATTCATGCAAGTGACCGCAAACACAGAGTTTAAAACAAATTAAAATGAGGTAAAATAGCTTTAAAAGGAATGAAATAAGAAAAGACATGACTGCTCCAAAATGCCTGAATTTGGTCATCAGATCTTTACAATTATGAAAGGTAACACATTATAATAGCTGCACACTGTATGAACCCTTAATTGAGCATTAAATAGTACAGAACTGTTAAATAATGCCTGCTGACTTAAGGATATCCGTGTTGACTTGACAAAATACTATTTTTGTTAAATGTGTTATTCTTGCACGTTATATACAGTATATACTAATATCTGTACTAAATAATCCAGTGATCTCCGGCTGCAGCAATGGTTCAAGTCGAACGCACCTCTTAACAACGCAAGTCTAAAAGGGATACAGCTGCGGATACTCGCATCATCAGCATCATTGTTGTGACACTGTACAACAACAATTTACATTTTGACATTACAGTGAGGGCTGGGGTTATGTTTGGGGTAGAGGTAGACGTTAATAAAATAAAATATAAAAAAATATAAAATAATCGATAATTTTATAAATAGTATAAACAATTTTCGTTAACCTCCGGCCGCAGCTGTATCCCTTCTAGTAACACCAAAGTGAAAGTAACGCTAACATCCGGACCCTGTTATTTTCTGGTATTGAGTTGGTTTTTTCCCCTTCATTTGAAAGCCGTCTGTTTGGTAGAAAGGTTTCCGGGTGAGTAAAACTTTTAATGTTTTGTAGAACCAAATTACAGTTATAATGCTGTTCGCATCCGCCATGCTGCAAGTTTTAAACGACTAAACGCCATCAGTGTGATTAATAATAAAAATGCATGCATTATTAATTGTTTGCCGTTTAAACTCCGTTGTTCGCTCGTTTCTTCCGCTATTTTCCGCTGCCGTTTGTGTCATGAATAAACATGATGATAATATTAGAGTCTTTGACAAGGTTAATATTTAAGCATGTTTAAAATAATAATAAACATCTGAACAAAATACCACCGTTTTGGTCTCCACTTCAGGTTACAGTGAATTTCGAGTAACGTTAGGCTAAGTAAACTCATATCAGAAGAGAAATTACAGAATCTAATTTTTCTATAAAGCTAATAATAATAATAATAATAATAATAATAATAATAATTAATAAACAAAGATAGTGAAATATTTCTCTAGGCTGCGTCTGCAGGAGTGTAAGCCTACAGTGCGAAGGAAACAAAACAGTACTTGTACTTTTACTTCAGCTACTGTCCATGAATAAAAAAATATACATTATTATACATTACATATAATATATACATATAATATTACATTACGTATCGATCTGCACATTATTTACAGATTAGTCTATTTTCATTTGCTTTGTTTTATAGTAGAAATGCTATTTAGCTTGCTTTACAGGTTTGGAAAGTTCACGAATTAAGATGTTTTCGAGGTATAAGATCAATAATATAGTACAAATGTGATCGTCAAGAAATTATTTGAATGTAACTTTCCATCACAGCAGTTAAATGTACATTTTTAAGTTAATTAATTTAACATGAACTGATATACAGCCTGCATGCCTTGCGTGACTTGGTGACCAGAAGAAACGTATTTAAATCAAAATATTAATACAGTCTGGACTGTATTCCACGAATGCAAATAGTTTAAACGAATCACAACTTGTTTTTTCAGAAGCGACTTTTCACCATTAGCCTGAAGCAAAACTGAAAGCAGCACTTTTACTGTAGGTAAACCTGATCCAAGTCAGTTAGCAAAAAGATAACGATCACTTGACAAAAAAAAAGCGGTCTTTCTCTTGGAGATGTTTGTATTGTCTGACTGCATTTACATCTCAATTATTTGCCAATCTCCCACCCCAAACATAAAACCAGAAATCATGTACAAATGTGTACCTTTTGAAAGGGTTAATGTCCTCGAACGTTTATTTTTTGAGCGTTTAACCTTTGTGTTATTGGAGTCATTTTCATTCACTCTGGGGTGATTTGAGTTTTAATTTGGCCAGAACCTCCTCTGTGTTTCAGCAAGTGTGATGATTTTTGCTGACAGATCTGATTTTGACACATATTTTGGTAAAATGCCTTTTAAAGAGACCGCTGCACACTTACCTTGACATGTCTGAGAAAATCTAAATCATCCCCTCAGCTCTCAGAACATAGTAAACACAGTAAGTGTATTTCTGCACACACACACACACACACACACACACACACACACACACACACACACACACACACACACTATACTCTGCTGTTTTTACTCCACTGAACTCCATATAAAAGACAGACACTTATTTACACAGGCCTACAGTATCTAAAGCAGGCGAGCCCAAACTCGTTCCCAGGGCGCATGGTGTGCATATTTTAGCTTCACTTTCCTTCAATATACCTGTTTGAAAGTTTCTTGTACACATAGAAAGAGCTTGATTAGCTGGTTCAGGTGTGTCTAATTGGGGCTACAATCAAGAATGCATGATCATGCGATGTCATGGCTTTTGCAATCAAAAAATGTCATTAAAGTGGAAGTCAATGGGGCAAAAGCAGCCACTAACATCATGAAAGGGGAGTCAATTGGGACAATACACAAGGGTTAAAGGGGATGATTTTCATTGTATACTTTAATGTCACCCACATTGATTGTTTTTCTCCTAGTAACAGAAAATGGAGGCCATGAACAGGTTGATGACTGATATGCTTGAGGAACTTGTGGAGGCAGAGCTCAAACAGTTCACCAGGCAGCTGTGGATGGGTGTGAAACCAGGCGTCGATCCCATTCCTCGTGGAAAGCTGGAGAATAAGGACCGTCAGGATGTGGTGGACTGTATGGTGCAGCATTACAGCAAGGATGCTGGGAAAATCGCTGTACAGGCTCTGCGCAGCATCAAGCAGAACGAGCGTGCAGATCGTCTCGAGTTGAATCTGCGGAAAGGTTGAAAAAGCTTTAGGTTTAATCTCACTTGTTTTGTGATTTTTAGATATTTATCTTTTGTATTATTTTGAATCAGTATGGAGACTTACACACTGCAAAAAAAAATGCTTTTCTTACTTTTTGTCTTCCCAGCTAAGAGGAAACGTTCCCAGAACATTCACTAACGTTCTTTAAAAGTTGGGGAAATGTTAGCACAAAACGTTATCAATAGATTGTTTTTAGAAGGGTCTCATAACGTTAACGTTCTTGTAACGTTGTAAAAAACGTTCTTAGAACAAAGTTCTCGGAACGTCTTCAGAACTTTATTTGTACTTCAAAAACGTTGTCATAATGTTGATGGAAAACGTTCTTAGAACGTTATATTTTGGTGGAAATTTTGGTTTTACAAACATTGTAACAACGTTATCCTAACCATAAAAAACGTTCTAGCAACATTAAGCAAACTGGATAGTTCAACATTCTTGGAACGTTACAGATAACGTTAAGAGAACATTCTTACAACCTAAATTTGTTAGCTGGGTTGTTTCTAGTCCAAATATATAACAATTATTAATTCAAGAAGCAATTTCAGGACAGATAATGAACATTGCTTGTTTTAATAAATAATATGTCAAAATTAAGTGAGTTTTTTTCGTAAAACAAGCAAAACAATCTGCCAATGAAATAAGCAAAATAACATTTTCCTTTTGACATAAGGTTATTTTGCCTAATCCATTGGCAGGTTGCTTTGCTTGTTTGCAGTGTGAGCTACAGTATAATATGGTTAATAACAGAGTTTCCAAGTTTGCTTAGGTGACTCTGGGCTTGTTTAGTGTCTCCCAAAATTCAGTTATGTTATTTTTTTTAGTATTATTAAAACTTAACTTCATTTTGTAGCACTTTCTAATTTATTTCTGTATTTAAAGTTTTAACAATCCATTTTAAAATGGAAACTTTTTACCAAAAATGGAAAATGAAACTGTAAGGTTATATGGTTTTATATTAGATATTTGAAAATAGTTTTAAAGTTTTATTTTCAGAAACCCAAAAGCAAATGGCCTAAAGTTTTCTGCTTATAGTTGAAAATGTAAACAAACTCTTGAGGACTGATCACACCGCTTTTCAGTTCTGATAAAGTGAGAGGCACTGCATCATTTTGTTGACTTGAGAAAAGAGCAGTGTGCTGTGCTTTTTATGTAGCTAAGGAACCACTGTATCAATGGTCTTGATGCTGGAGTACATGACATCAGGGGACTTTTTGCAACTGCAGGCACACAGAGCACTCTGTCAAAAACACAGAGCAACATGATGCACCCAGCACACATAAACAGCATGTGCCAATAGAAACCCATTTTAAAAAGGTGGCTCTCACCATGAAAAATCAATCCAGTGTGATTAGGGCTATATGTCCAGTGGAGCTTTTTTTCCCAAGCTGAGTGCATTTTTTGTTGTTGTCAATGGGACTGCCATGTTGTTTTACAAAGCTGGCAACATGGTGAGACGTTTAACAAAAAGTGCTGAGCACTTTGCCATTTTTAAAGCTCTGACAGTTGGAGAAGCACTTACAGCTCAGTTTTTTTGAAGACTGCTGCCATTTTTTGCTGTGCAAAAACCCTTCAATGGACTCGTGGCCTCATTGTTCCATATTTTCCTCCTATTGACCTGGAGTCATTTATTTACAGTGACATTTTTTTCAGACCAGGTTGGTTATTTCTCCAGAAAAGCTTGCCATCCTAACCTGCCTACAGTCTGCATGAATTTGCTTTGTTAGCACTTTAATAGATAAATATATTTGTGTTTACAAATTGTGTACTTACTTTAGCTTTTTCACCCAATCCACTCAAAGGACAGATGTCCCAAAAAGAAGGTACAAAATCAATTGGCAAATCTTAAAAAAAAAAAGGGTTGGACTCACATTTACATAATTGTATCAATGTCTACAACAATTCAGCTAAAGTCACAACAATTCTTGTGCTTTTGATTTCTAGATGATGACTTCTTAGGAGAAGTCCTCAAAAAACACAAGGAAAGCATAAAGGCCAGTGTAGATGTGTTTGAAGGCAAGAAAGACAACAAAACAGACATCAACAAAGTGTACACCGAGCTGTTCATTACTGAAGGGGACATGACAGACGTCTGCAAAGAACACGAGGTTCAGAAGTTTGACCTAGCCTTGCAGATGCCAAGATCTGAGGACAAACCAATCGACTGTAATGAAATATTCAATTTGTTGAGGGGGAAGGACAAGGGAAACGTTGTTCTGACCAAAGGCATCGCCGGCATTGGAAAGACGTTCTCTGTGAACAAGTTCATCCTGGACTGGGCTGAAGGAAGAGCCAATCTGGATGTGGACTGTATGTTTCTGCTTCCATTTCGAGAGATTAACTTGATGATAAAAGATGGAGATGTTAGTCTTCACAAGTTTCTGTTGAAACTTTTCCCTGACATCACTGGCGTGGAAACGACACCGTTTTATGAAAAATGCAAACTGCTGTTCATCTTTGATGGGCTTGATGAGAGTCGCCTGGATTTGAACTTTAACCTTAGTTCAGTGGACGATGTCCATTCTTGCGCATCCATCGATGGTTTATTTACAAGCCTCATCAAAGGAAGGCTGCTTCGCTCATCTCTCATCTGGGTGACCTCACGACCCGCAGCGGCCAATCGGATCCCTTCCTACCATGTCGGGTTGTTCACTGAGGTGCGCGGATTCACTGACAAGCAGAAGGAGGAGTACTTCAGAAAAAAGGTCCCAGATGAAGATCAAGCTTCCAGGATAATCTCCCACATCCGGACGTCCCGCAGTCTCTACATCATGTGCCACATTCCCGTGTTCTGCTGGATCATCGCCACCGTTCTTCAGGATATTCTCCAGAAGAACAAAGGGGAGGACATTCCCTCCACCCTCACTGAGATGTACATCCACTTCCTGCTGATACAGATGAACATCAAGAACCAGAAGTATGATGAAAAACTGATACGGGATCGAACAGAGCTGTTGGGTTCAAACAGAGACATGATTTCTAAGTTGGCCAAACTGGCGTTCGAACAGCTGAAGAAAGAGAACGTCATGTTCTACCGGGAGGATCTGGCAGCATGCGGCATTAACGCAGATGAAGAGTTCACAGGACTGTGCACTGAGATCTTCAAGAAAGACTCTGTCCTGCATGAGCTGAAGGTGTATTACTTCATACACTTGAGTGTGCAGGAGTTCCTTGCTGCGCTGCATGTGTTTCTTTGCTACTTGGAGCTGGAAAAAGACATGAACTTGACAGATAGTGACCTGATGTTCTTCCTGGAGGATTCACGTCCAAAACAGAAGGAGCTGTTGCACGTTCTGCTGAGGAAGGCGATCGATAAAGCGGAGAAGAGCGATCGAGGGCATTTTGATCTCTTTCTGCGGTTCCTGCTGGGCATTTCTCTCGAGTCCAATCAGAAGCTACTTATCGGCATCCTGAACGAAACAAAGAACAGTAAACAAAGCATCAGTAAAACCGTTCAGTACCTCAAGCAGTTGCAAAACAATGACAAATGCCCAGATAAATCTATCAACCACTTCTTCTGCATCCTGGAACTGCAGGACAGAACCCTGTACCAACAAATCATGAAATATCTGAGGTCAAAGACAAATCGGCCAAAAGTCATGTCCAGATCAAACTGCTCAGCGCTGGTGTATGTGCTTCTGATGTCACAGGAAGTGCTGGACAAATTCAACCCAAAGTTGTTCAACAAAACATATGCGGGATGCAGGATTCTCGTGCCAGCCGTGAGATGCAGCCGCAAGGCCCTGTAAGTAGACCCAGATAATTATTCCTAAATCGTTATGCTGGGTTTGCGCTAAATGCATTAAATTAGATTACATACAAAGACAATACAAGCATGCAAATAGAGGTGAATTTTCTCCAGGTGGCGTATTTGCTGTGAATATGCTGAAGAAGCTATTGTGACAAATGCCGCATGTTCAGCGGCCTTTACATTTAGTCATTTGGAAGATGCTTTTGTCCAAAGCAACTTGCAGTTGAGGAAGCATACAGCAACTCAACAAGAAAATGCAATACAGACAACAAGTGCTGATTATACAAAGGAACTGTTTGTGCTCAGAGAATTACGTGCCAAAATTAGGAGTGAGGAGGGTTTTTAGAGTGTTTCTAAAGGTGCTTTTTCAAGCTTACTTTTTAAGTTCTCTTTGTTGTGATCTGTTTTCAGGTTTTCAGACTGTGGACTGACAGAAACATGCTTTGAAACAGTGGCTTTGGCTCTACAGCTGGAGAACTGTCCTCTGGTTGAGCTGGACCTGAGCTACAACTACAGTCTGGAGGCGGCAGTGAACGTGATGTGTGCTGGACTCAAGAGCCCACACTGTCACCTGGAGAGCCTCAGGTTATTACCATTCCACTAATATACAAACGTTTATCAGTCCCTACTGGATTTTACAAGTGCAATGATTGGCCATAGCAATATCAGCCAACACATGGTATTTTATTATGTTAACATTATCGGTCTGATATATTTATCCCAATATCTTTAGACTGATAAATTACTCTTTCTGAACCCCTTCGCATGCTTGATTTGTTCGGGTATTTTGATTTTGGTTATTGTTCATTACCTTGGTTGCTTTATTTATGCAATATTCATAATTCAATTAATTAAAATTTTTTTTGGTCAGACAGTAGATTTATTTTTATAAAAGAAATTGTTCATAGTTGTTTATAAACAGTTGATAAAGTTCAGAGAACAGTTCAAACTTTCCTGAAGTTAAATTTTCTAAATAAAAACAACAATCATGAGCAACTTTTTTTTAAAGAGCCCCTACTATGCCCATATAGCAAAATTTCTCTGGCCCAGCTCTGGCCCACACAATCAGGTTTTGCTTGGCCCACATGCCGCAGTGAATTACGGTACATGACTGGACCAAATCTGGCTTCCAGACAAGGGCCAAACACAGACCATATCTGGGCCAAGTCTCAGCCAAGTTAATAACTCATAACTGGGCCTGAACTGGGCCAGTAAGGTTGGTGTGTCACGATTGCAATGAAATTAATAAACCAATGAAGCATTGCGCTTTAAGCACACTATGGGCCTTGTTTTTTCTCAGTGACCTAATTGGTAGAATTGATTTATTTAATCAAAAATTATTTTTATGTATTGTAAATGTGGGTCAAGACTGGCCAAACTCACGTGGCCCACAATCAATTTTTAAAATCTTCGCCAAATACTACGTTTTACATCTGGCCCAAATCTTGTGTGCCGCATTATAGACGGTGCCACCTCTGCCAAACCCAGGCCATGGTTGGCCCACATGCTGTATGCCAGTACCAGATGAATGCCTGCTGTGCCAGCTTTTTGCCAAATCTGGGCTAGAATTCTTTGCTACTAGGGTGGGTTTTTGAGAATGATCTTCATGCAATGAGTAACACAGCTCTAAGTGAATGAAAACATCCAGCTGAGGTTTACATCTGAAAGTGCACCTTGTTTAAAGCTATTGATTCTTTAGCGAAATACTTTACTCCGAGTCGAATAAACGAATCGAGTTGGGTTTAGATCTTTTGCTTGATCGCATCGACGTCAATACTGTACTGTACATCACCAGATATGTACTTCCAGTTCCTCCACACACTAGCAGAGATGTGGGGGCTCACAGGACTGATCATGATGCGAAGATGATCAGTCACTGACATATTGAGATTCGGCTGCGGGCAGGGCTGGAGCAAACTGACCTGGAGCTCTAGGCAAAAGATGATCATGCCACCCTCAAACTGAAAATGAAAACGAGAGAGCGGGGTGGGATTGCGTGTACGACAGCGAGGACCGGGGCGGTGGGGGGATTGTCACGAACGCCGCTCTCTCTATTCTGGCACCCTCCATGGACGCGCCGGCCCTGGCTGCTGGGAAAAAAGGGTTAAAGTAAATTTTCACAACAATACCACAGTATATCAAACCTAGTGCTGTGTTTGTTCCTGTAAATTTTCTAATGATTGACACAATAACCTACGCTGCAGCGCGGGATTCGCTGGCAATTTGCTATTGAAGGAGCAGCAGAGACTATTATGTATGGGACTTTGTCAGACTTTGTCAGTAACTGTTACAGTTCATATGGACCAGTTTCTTCTTCCTCCAGATCATGACATGTAAATGTCATTAAAATTGTTGCCTCTGTAACGGAGGTCAGCTAGTGTGTGCTGTGCAGGTAGACCTCAGTCCTCTGACCTCTAAAAGGTGCTCTAGCGACAGACGCTAGAGGCCATGGTCTTTAGCCTCCTTGGTAGAGCACCCAACTCCCATGCGGAAGGTCGTAGGTTCGATACCAGCTCGGAACGAGTTGGGTGGCGTAGGACCGGCGGGGTTACATTGGTGACGTGACCTGGATGGGAGTGAGGTTTAGGGGGGTGAGTGTAATGGAGGTCAGCTAGTGTGTGCTGTGCAGGTAAACCTCACTCCTCTGACCTCTAAAAGGTGCTCTAGCGACTGACGCTAGAGGCCATGGTCTTTAGCCTCCTTGGTAGAGCACCCGACTCCCATGCGGAAGGTAGCCGGTTCGAAACCAGCTCGGAGCGGGTTGGGTGGTGTAGAACTGGCGGGGTTACAACTCATTTTGTGTAGTTTGCAAAATATGTGTTTAATTGTGTGTTGTAACTTGTAATCGCTAAGCATGGCTTGTGATCACGTATCTATTATAGATGTATCCCTCAGATTAAATCTGTATGGGGCTGTTCACATATCACGTCCAAAACCATGTTAAAAACGTGACACGTGCTTCTTCTTTTGCTGATTTTAAGTGCGTTTCTGGACTGGCGATCCTCTGCTGTTTGCCTTTGCTGTGGCCACCATTAGCTGTTCCTCACACGTACGGCACGGTCAATATTCAAAATAGTTCAGCTTTTGCCGCTGTGTGGATTAATACTGAATGTGTTTTGTTATTACTTGGGGTTAGGGTTAAGAGTAGAGCAATATTTTGGTGTTTAGCTGCATTCATTTATTGCATTCCTGCATTGGGCTCTCATATACTCTCTGGCTGCTACTTCATAGTCGTGGTGGGCTTTTCTCTCGGTCTTTTGCTGAACACAGTTGACCAATCGCAACAGACTGGCTCATCAGACCAATCAGCGCAGATTAGCTTTGGCTAAGGAGTGCTTTGGCAACAAATGAATCGCCGAACGATTCATATGGGAGCCGCTGGGATGATTAGGTAAAAATAAATGCAGATTATAAGACAATGAAAGTGTTTTTTGACCTTACACTCATATCAGCAAGTTGTTAGAGACCTCTTAAACCAAAATATGACCTTTTTAATGCAAAATAGGGGCTCTTTTAATCTAATTATTATCAGCTATCATATCGACTACCAGCCTTCAGATCTAAAGAGTGATTGAAAATTCCATATCGGTGCATCGCTAGAACATTTCACTATATTTTCTGTGTATTTTCACTGCAAAATCCAATGACGGATGCAAATAATTCCATAAGTGTTGAGAAAAACTGTCACTAGAGCTGTCACTCTACACTGCAAATATAATTACAAATGTCTCTGGTTTATGCTCCTTCAGGTTGGCCGGGTGTCATTTAGGGCAGGACAGCTGTATGCAGGTGGTCTCTGCACTTCAGAGTATCTCACATCGTCTAAAAGAGCTCGACCTCAGCGGAAACGATCTGCAGGACTCAGGACTCCAAAAGCTCCTACAAGGGATGGAGAACACAGAGAAAAGACTTCAAGTCTTGAGGAAAGTATTGATGATACTTAGCGTTACAGAAGTTTGAAGAAATCAGTTAGTAAGTGAGATGATAGAAGAGCTTAATTTTTATGCAGGTTGAGCTGGTGTAACCTCACTGAAATGAGTTGTCAGCAGCTTTCCACGATTCTGAGCTCCAATTCGGTCTTTAGAGAGCTGGACCTGAGTAACAATGACCTGCAGGATTCAGGAGTGAAGCTGCTCTCTGATGGACTGAAGAGTCCAAACTGTAAACTAAAGATACTGAGGTGTGTAAGAACATATGAAAGTTAATGTACAGTCAGTAAGTAATTTTGTTGATGTCTAATGGCAATCTGTGTGTGTGTCTCTGCAGGTTGTCTGGCTGTATGGTGACAGAGGAAGGCTGTGGTTTTCTATCTTCAGCTCTGAGTTCAAACCCCTCACACCTGAGAGAGCTGGATCTGAGCTACAATCACCCAGGACAATCAGGAGTCCAGCTGCTCCAACACACACTGGAGGATCCACACTGTAAACTGAAGACACTCAAGTATGTTGAATGTTTAATTAATATCTAATGAATAGGAATCCACATGAAATACACAGAATTTTTGGGGTATTTGGACTAGAAAGAAGACAGAAATATTAAGTAAGGGCGTATCCACATTATGCTATCCGAACCGTGCACAGGCCCGTTTTCCAGATCGTTTAAGAAGTGTGTGTGCTCTGAATCAGGCTCAGGCGTGGTTGTAAGGGGTGTGCCAGAGCGTGGTTCATTTGGGATCAGTCGCGGTACGCTTTTAGTGTGAGTGCAAAGCGCGCCTGAGCCCGAAACTGAAGACGAAACGTGACTTTTAAGGGACTGTTTAATATGGATTTATCAATCATTCTTATTATTCGATGAACGCACACTGTCGTAGTTTAATAAAGAAGTAAAGCCCTCACTGCACAACAGCTGCACCTTCAGCAAACCTCCAAATTCCTGCAGCACGAGAGCTTTATGATTGTTTATGAGGGTCAAAAGTGGCTGATCTGTTCTGGGAAATATTTGACTGTGTGTCACTGCATCCCAAACCCCTAAAGTCATGTAACTACAAAAAAATGTCCACTGTGCGCCCTCCAATGTGGGTGCGGGCCGTCAGGGGAGATGGATGTGGTACAAGCAAGCTTCAGCCCGGTTCAAGGCAACTGTACATAGTGTGAGTACGCCCTAGGAAGAGATTTTGCATCATTCGGTCTATTTGTTTACTTATGCAAATATGCTTATTTATTTAATTAGATATTTATATTAGTTTCAGTAATATTATTGGATAGATAGTATACAAATGTTGATTTATTACATTATCATTATTATTATTCATATTCTTTTCCCCCTGTAGAACTGATCCTATGGGTGACCACTTGATGAAACCCGGGATAGTGAAGTGTAGGTTTATCATCATCCCTCTCAATCAATCATGTATTCTACAAGTGTCTGTCTGAGGCAATAACAGAAGTGTTTTCTGTCTCACAGATGCATTCAATCTCACTCTGAATCCAAACACAGCTCACGTTCATCTGCTTCTCTCTGACGGAGACAGAAAGGTGACTCTAAAAGAGAAACAGCCGTATCCTGATGATCCGGAGAGATTTGAAGAGCATCATCAAGTGCTGTCCAGAGAGAGTCTGTCCGGACGCTGTTACTGGGAGACTGAATGGACGGGTCAGGAAGGCACGGTCGGTGTGGCGTATGAAAGCATCCCGAGGAAACCTGATGATCTTTTGTATGGCAGGTGCATGCTTGGAAACAACATCATTTCATGGAAGATTACGTGTGGAAGTCGCACACATGTTTCACACGCTGAAGAAGATATTACTGTGAAATCTCCATCCTCTGGCTCATGTAAGAGAGTGGGTGTGTATGTGGACACAACCGCTGGTGTTTTGTCCTTTTACCACGTCTTTGACACACTCACACACTTGTACACCTTCCTCATGCCTTTCACACAGCCTCTCTATGCAGCATTCAGAGTGGACGGCGAATCTGTGTCCATCTGTCCGATACCGTAAACAGAGGTTTTTAAATCCGAAGTAGAGGATGGTATTTTTTTGGGAATCGCACGGGTCACGGGATTTCAGTGGGATTGGAGTCATCTTTGCTTTTAATCATGGGATTGGGACAGTACAGGATAAAATAGTTTACGGGAGCAGATGGGGAGCAGGAATCAACCAATAGGAAAATGGCAACATAAAAAAATGCACTGCCATTTTGTAGTTTCCTTTTCATACGAATACAATCAACCCAAGCTCATTCTGGAAACGTAGCCCCGCGGACGTTTCTGGAGAACGCGATTTACGTGGCCAGAGGTACGTAAAGGCCGCGTTTGTTTTTTTTTGAGCGAACGCTGCGGGGCGGTGTGGTGCCGCTCCGCCCCTCCTGTTCGCGCTCGCCGGCCGACGGCTCGCCTCCGAGTGGAGGGCTTTCCCGATGCAATCAGTTTGTCCGCTTAGCTCACAGCGTTGCGTCGGCGGAGCGGAGGCCCCGGAGGAGGAGCCGGAGCCGGAGCCGGCCACGGTGGACGACGACCGGGATCAAGGCCGGGGAACAGCAGGTTTCGGAAATCAGGTAAGACGAAAAACGGAATCCGAAAAATAAGGGCGAGAACGTGGCGGGATCCGAAAACGCGGTCGAAATCGAAGACGAGGGCTTTTGCTTTTTTTTTTCCGATCCGGCGGCTTTTCGCGTGAGAACGGCGCGAGCGCGAACGCGCGCGCTCCCGAGAGGCGCCCGAGACGCGAAAAAGCACGCACAGCGGCCTCTCGCGGATCCGCGAAAACAATAAACGCTCCAATATGTACCTCCCGGGACGTAAATCGCGGTCCGCAGAAACGTCCGCGGGGCTACGTTTCCACAATGAGCCCGGGTTGAAAACAATGCAACGCAATTTAAAACTAACTGCACAATCGCTTGCTAACACCCGCGGAGAAATTGATGTGGTGAAAAAATTCTTTGCAGAGGTCATGACATTAACAGAACTAGTCAGGATGGAAATATTAATGAAGTTCATGAGAGTAAACTGCGATGATGATAGTACGCCCCGTATGCTGCTTGTAAAACATGCTTAATCTTAGTCAAGTACACCAGTTGATTCTGGGACGAGCAATCTGAAAAGGCACACTTGTTAAGTCTCGTCTGACCGACAAAATTGCTCACAACCATCACAGGTTCAGTGTTTTCACCCTAAGTAAATTAAATTTAATGAATCGAATTGAGGTGACGCAGTGGCGCAGTAGGTAGCACTGTCGCCTTGCCGCAGAAAGGTCGCTGGTTCGAGCCTCGGCTGGGTCAGTTGGCGTTTCTGTGTGGAGTTTGCATGTTCTCCCTGCATTTGCATGGGTTTCCTCCGGGTGCTCCAGTTTCCCCACAATCCAAAAACATGCGGTAGAGGTGAATTGGGTAGGCTAAGGGTGCTTTCACAGTTGGTTTTATTGCCTGGATCGTACCCAAGTTTGATTGTCCTCCCTTGCCACCTTCTGCCACCCAGGCTCATTCCGAAAATGTAGCCCCGCGGATGTTTCTAGAGACTGCAATTTAAGTGGCCGGAGGTACGTGTGGCCGAATTTTGTTTTTTTTCGAGCGAACGCTGTGGGGCAGTGTAACGCCGGCTGTGATGGCTCGCCTCTGTGTGGAGGGCTTTCCCGCCGCAACCAGTTTGTCCGTTTAGCTCGCAATGTTACCTCGGAGGGGCGGAGGCCTAGAGGAGGAGGAGCTGCCGGCCGCGGCAAGGACGACTGGGATCGAGTTCGGGGAAGAGCGGTTCCAGAATTCAGGTAAGATGAAAAACAGAATCCAAAAAATAAAAACGAATGAGTTCAGGACAGGGCGAGAATGCGGCGAAACCCGAAAAGGCGGTCAAAATCGGATGAGGGCTTTTGCTTTTTTTTTTTTGCTTTTGTAAATCAACGTTTGGGACAGACGGTCGCTCGACAGTGGCCTCTGGAGGCTTTTCGCGTGAGAACAGCGTGGGCGCGAACGGAGCGTGCTCCCAAGAGGCGTTTGAGACTTGAAAAAGCGCACACAGCGGCCTCTCGCGGATTCGCGAAAACAAAAACTGCACAAATTCGTACCTCCCGGGACATATTTTGTGGCCTCTAGAAACATCTGCTGGGCTATGTTTCCACGATGAGCCTGGGTTGATCTTCTCGGTTGGCTTGTGTTCACACTGTCTTTTTTCCTTCTGAACCCTGGCCCGCTTGCGTTATCGAGCTGCCATTCTGTTTATAGCTTGCTAGGTGACGGTCATGAAAGCAAAGCGCCAAAATGGAAAGACGCCCACATATCACGGTCGTCCTGCTTTTACTGAATCTTTTGGATTTGGTCATACAGAAAGCGACTTACGTCCACGTTCAGAACATCACACAGTGTCTGCAAAAGCTGTTTTTGAAGGAGACAAGTAGAAATTATTACTGTGTTTGCCCTGGCTCAATCATGCTTGTCACCAAGGTACGATTCCTGACACACACACATACAGACACACACACACAAATGAACATAATGAAAACTATAGTTTGTTGTACAGTCGGTGGTTCACTTCCGTTATTTGGTACGATACGATACCAGAGTTTACATGAACCATACCCCAGACCACCTCTTTCAGGCGGACTCGAGTGCGGTTTGTGGGTGCACACCCGAGTTCAGAAGACACTAGCTAAACGTACTGCACTATGACATCGAACGATCCTGGGTGCGGACCAAAAGTGCTAGTGTGAAAGCACCCGAAATTGCCCGTAGTGTCTGAGTGTGTATGGCTGTTTCCCAGTGATGGGTTGCAGCTGGAAGGACATCCGCTGCGTAAAACGTGCTGGATAAGTTGGTGGTTCATTCCGCTATGGCGACCCCGGATTAAATTGAAACTAGAAGAATGATTGTTTGCATGTGTGGTGGTGAGGAATGAGGACTAGAATATTTGCTGTTCATTTTTCATGTCAACTTTCTCTATAAAACCAGAATCATACTGACTATTTTCATATATTGAGGATGCATATAATGCATACAGCCACATGTTTTAATTTGAATCAAATAAGCAGATACAAACATTGTGTGTGTGTGTGTGTGTGTGTGTGTGTGTGTGTGTGTATACATCTTTTGTTTCTGCTTATTTGCTTATTTTTTATTTTTCAAAGGGTGTCAATATTTATTCGATGTTTAAATTGTGCATGCTGCATTTCTCTCTTTCATTATGTGCATATTGGATGAAAATTGTTAACATGTTAATTAAAAAACAAAACTTTTCAATAAATGAGTAAAATGCAGCCTCATGTGCTGTTTGGGTTTATTAAACTATTGTAGACACGGTGTGAACTATGTGCTGTTTACTGTAACTGATCTCTAGAAAATCTAGAAACTGGGACTCAGCAGCTGAAAACAGGATGGGGAGCAGATAAAATCAAAATCTTTCTATTACCTAAATAATAAAAGCAGAGAAAATATATATGACAATATATAAGTACAGGAGCGGGATGGGACAGGATTATTTCTTAAACTTTGGTCTGGGAGTGGGATGGAACTAAATTTCTTTCTGTGAGAGTGGGACAGGACAGGAGTGAAAATCCAGTCCTGTGTCATCCTCTAGTCCAGGGGTGGCCAACCCTGTTCCTGGAGAGCCACCTTCCTGCAGATTTCAGATGCAACCCATATCAAACACACCTGCCTGTAATTATCAAGTGCTGTTCAGGTTCTAATGAATTGGTTCAGGTGTGTTTGATATGGGTAGCAACTGAAATCTGCAGTAGCGTCGCTAAGTATCTAATAGCTTTTTTTTTCTCAGTAGCCTACTAACTATATTTTTCAGTAGTGTGGCGGTAGCGTTGCTACTTTATAAATCAAATACATTTCTGTAGCGAATCTATTATTTAAGTCAAGTGGCGCAGTAGCGTCCACACAAGCTACATTTACCGATCACATGCTGCAGATATCTGTTCTACTTGCCTTATTGCGTTATCATCCCAAAAAAGTTAATATGACATCTAATTTTTTTTATTAAGCTAATTAATATGAATGTTCCTTTTACATTTACTTGAGAGGGGTCTGGCTGCAGACTCGGTGCAGTGCAATCTGAGCTGCATCCAATGCTTTTTAATGCGCCCACCTAACCCCACCCCTAACCGTCACAGTGACGTCACTCCATTGAGTGCATTGAGTCTGACATTGCATCGCTGAGTGATGCATTTTTAGCTTGCATCATAAAGGCTGCATCCAGATACTATTGGATAATTTTAGCTTCATTGAGTGTTTCGAGTGATATCACAGGTTATCACAGGATCAGTGGTTACTAATGAGTGGTTATTTGATATCTGTCTGGTTTTATGCCTTTGTGTTTATGAGTGAAATATGACATCATCATTATGTATCAGACACTGACACCTTGAGGCATAAAGATAAACTGCAGTTATTAATTGTTGTGAATTCAAACATACTTTAGGTTATTATCGACTTCATTTTAATGAAATTAATAAAAAAATAAATAAAAACAGGCTGCCTTTAAAATGTGATTTTTCCTCCTCACTATTGTTTATAATGAGTAGATGGAGGAATGCCAAGTTGACATGTGTAATTAACTAATAATGGATTGTTTATAAATGACACACTTTCTGTTTCTCTCATTTCCTCAGTTTTTATGATGAACAACATATGAAGGTATGGTATGGTAATTTAAACACTGGCCAGACAGTTCATTACTACTGGATCATCATCTTGTCATGCGTGGAGATTAAACAGTACAGAACTGTTAAATAATGCCTGCTGTCTTTTGGAAACCAGTGTTGGACACGATAAAATGTACTATTATTGCTGAAATGTGTTATTCGTGTAAGTTATATACTGCATATACTAATTTCAGTGGTGAATTTAAGTGTAGCGGTCAGCAGAGGGCGCTCCTGCTAAAACACAATACACGTCAGAGAGAGGAGGAGAGAGTGAAAAAAGTGTGTGAGAGAAAGAGAGGTTGATCTCTTTTGTAAGTTTGTCTTTCAGCTTCACACACTCAAGGCACACGCACACACACACACAGCAGAATGATCCACATCTCTGAAGATAAACTGCTCATATTCACTCTGCTGATCCTCATGACAGGTAAGAGTTTATTCTGTTTCTAGAGCAGTGACTGCTCTCAATCAGGTCCTTGTGTGCACTGAGCTGCACTTCTGTCTTTATTTCTTCTTAGTGGTGTATTCTGAGATGAAGACCTTCACTGGACATGAAGGAGGGAAAGTGGAGATAAGGTGTCCATATAATGCTAAATATGAGGAGATGGAGAAATATCTCTGCAGAGGAGAATGCCCAATATATGATAAAGACATTCCTGTTGAATCTGGATCAGAACCTGTAGATAAGAGATTCTCTCTGACTGATAACAGGACAGCTCACATCTTCACCATCACCATCACTGATCTCAGAACAGACGATCAAGGAAAATACTGGTGTGCTGTGAAGACAGGAATTGGAAGTTTTGATAAGTATACAGAGATTTACCTGGAAATAAAACAGGGTAAGTCAGAATATACAGTTATATTAATCAATTACTGCAATAAACACAGAGATAGAAACCTTTATATAACACTAATATACACTATTTAAATACATAGTTTAGTGTGTGTGTGAGTGTGTGTACTCTATGATGTTGTGAAGACAGAGAGATGAACAGAAACCACAGTTTCCTCTGCTGATGCTGATATGAGGCACCAACAGAAACGCTGTCCCACATCACTTCCTCACACCACACGCATGCGGTTTCATTTGTTAAGAAATAGTTAAAAAAAGGGAAACCATAATTAATCTACTTAAATTATTACGTATTTAATTAAAATGAAAAACATTTCAGGTCTCAGACTCCTGCAATGCATTGTTAAAAAAGCATTCAAAACTTCCTCTTTCTGATACTCTTATTACTACATTACAGTCAGAATTAGAGAAGTTAAGATGTTGTGTGCAGGGTGGACGGTTGATAAACAGAATTAACCTGCAGTTATACAGTATAGAGTCTTTTCTAAAATAAAGTGATGTCTGTGTGTATAATAGATGTTCAATGAAGTGTATCAAGTGTGTCTGTGTTAAGTATCTGCTGACATTCAGGGATTCAAAAGATTGACTTTACATGTTCACTAAATAACTGTTTATAAGGCAAGGAGAGTGTATTTCTATAGCACATTTCATACACAGCAGCAATTCAAAGTGCTTTACTTAAACAAGAATAAAAGAGACGAGTATAAGAAAAATAAAAACAAATAATCAAAATGATTAAAAACAGATTAAAACTGATTAAAAAGTGTTAAAATAGGTTATAGAAGAATGAAAAAGAAAAGAAAGACACACTGTATTAGTGCGATCTGTGGGCTGTAGCACAGGGCTCATTCAGTCAATGCACAGTTAAACAGACGTGTGTTCAGTCTTGATGTGAATGTGCCTAATGCTGGAGCACATCTGATCATTTCTGCTAATTCCAGCAGCAGGGGGCGCTGTTAGTTGCTAAAAACCGTATTCTGTTTGCATATCTGTAATGTATTGAGCTCCTAGGCCATTTAGTGACTTATAGACAAGTAATAATACTTTAAAATCTATTCTGAATGTAACTGGGAGCCAGTGTAAAGACCTGAGGACCAGTGTTCTGGTCAGAATCGGTTCTGAATGAGCTGCAGTTGTCTGAATGTCTTGGCCACTGTCTAGGCTAGTGGGGAGTCTATTACAGTAATCCACCCTGCTGCTGATAAAAGCATCAACAAGTTTTCACTGGAACAAAGCATCTAACTCCTGCAGTGTTGTTGAGATGATAGTATGCTGATTTACTGACTGCTTTTACATGACTATTGAAACTCAGATCTGACTCCAGAGTCACACCAGAGTCTTGACCTTATTTTTTTATTAATTTTTTTCCGAAGCGAAGCTGCCATGACAAACTGATGAATGTAAAGCAGAAATAGCAGCTATTATTCAGAGCAGTGTCTGCTTAAACAGTCAGTGTCTGTTGTTTCTGCTGATTTAGTGTCTCGAGTTTCTGGAGAACCTGGAAAACATCTGAGCATCACCTGCAGTTATACAAGAGATCTGAAAGAACTCATCAGATTCCTCTGCAAAGGAAGCGACCCATCCGACTGTAAGAACATCATCAAAGTTTCATCAAAAACAAAAACTAATGGCCGATTCTCTCTGACTGATGATTCTGAGACAGTTTTCACTGTAAACATCAGAGATCTGACAGAGGAGGATTCTGGGATATACTGGTGTGGAGCTGCAGAGAAACAAGCACAAGAGTACACATGGATTTCAGCCATAGATCTGCACATTACTGAACGTAAGACCACACCAGACTTATTATACTAATATAACATGTTAAAGACAGAACTAAAGTTTCTTTGTGCAAAGAACTTGTAAAAACAAAACAGATTACTGCTCACACATACAGTAAGTGTGCTATTATAGCCACACCCTTCACACTAATGAAGCGTTTCTCACAGCTGTCAGGGGAAGTGTGAAGAGTCACGTGATCTCGGGCCAAAATAAGACTAAAACCAAACCGTGCAGATATATTCTGACATGCATGCTCAATGCACAGAAAAACACTGCTTAAAGCATCTCAACTAGTTGTATTCTTATTATATCAGCAATAACTGAATAAACCACAGTCTTGTCATGCAATAAACCCAATGATTATTTCTGTTTTAGCCACATCAGCGCCAAGACTTCCTAAAAATACCTCAACTGCTTCATTTCACACCAGCAAACCAGCAGATCCTGCATCCAGCAGACCCGTCACACCTTCATCATCTGCATCATCATCGTCAATATCAATGTTTTTAAATGCATCCACCAATGCAGCATCATCACACACACCATTAGGTAATATTTATTTAGTTTTTTCCCTCAGAAATAGGTCATATTATGCTGATTTCATTGTCTGCTTCTTAAGGGTTTACAGCATTCATCATGCTGATGGTCGTAGTGATGCTGACGGTGTTTGGACTCTCGTTGTTCCTGTACCTCAAGAGAAAACAAAAGAAAAAAGGTAACTTTCTTACTTAAACCTTTTATTTTCTCATTTACCATAGTAAAGCTGGACTTTAGTGTCAAAACACAGGTCTGATTAGCTTCATTTAGAGAAGTTTAATTACCAAGTCAGTATGCACAACATCTGCACTCAGGTTTCATTTAAACACTGCAAAATAATGCTTTTCTTACTTACTGTAGATGCTTTTGTTTTGTTTCTTGTCCTAAATCAAGAAGTGCTTTGCAGACAAGCAAAAATATATATTTTTTTTTTTACTGAATAAACCACATAAACCATATATATATATATATATATATATTTTTTTTTTAAGAAATGACCCAAATTAAGCGAGACTTCCATAAAAAAGCACAATAATCTGTCAGAAATGTAAGTAAAATAAACAATTTTCCACAAAAACTCCACACAGAAACGCCGAAACTGACCCAGCCAGTGCTCAAGCCAGCGACCTTCTTGCTGTGAGGCGATTGTGCTACCCACTGCTCCACCGTGCTGGCCCCCACTTAACTCACTTACAGATCATTTTGCTTGTTTAAAAGAACAATCCACTTAATTGAGACTTTTTCCAGCTAGCAAAATGATTATTAAACTAATATTCACAAATATGGTGCACACACTATGATGCAAACTGAAATGAAAGCATCAGAAAATACATACAACTGATATTGATGACAAATCCTACCACCTAGTGGTTATATTAAGCAAACTCAGAACTATATTTAGGGTAATTTACATACAATTCTGGTAAAGATGAGTTTGGTGTAAACAGCTGCAGGGAGGCGGTGAGTGCTGACATCTAAAAAGGACTGCACAAATCCCCTAGGGCTTTGGCTTGTGTTTTATTCATGTCTACATCTACATCTACCCCTTACAGTAATGAAAAAACAGTATTTATTGTTGTAGAGCACAGGTGTCAAACTCAGTTATTGGAGGGCTGCAGCTCTGCACAGTTTACTTCCAACCCTGCTTCAACACACTTACAGCTGAAATCAGAATTATTTTCACCCTTGTTTATTTTTTTTCCCAATTTCTATGTAACAGAGAGCAGATTTCTTCAACACATTTCTAATCATAATAGTGTTAATAACTCATCTCTAATAACTGATTTATTTTCTCTTTGTCATGATGACAGTAAATAACATTAGACTAGATATTCTTCAAGACACTTCTATACAGCTTAAAGTGACATTTAAAGGCTTAATTATGTTAATTAGGTTAAATATGCAGGTTAGGGTAATTAGGCAAGTTATTGTATAATAATGGTTTGTTCTGTAGACTATTGAAAAAAAATTGCCTAAAGGGGCTAATAATATTGCCCTTAAAATGGTGTTTAAAAAATTTTAAAAACATTTTTATTCTAGCCAAAATAAAACAAGTAAGACTTTCTCCAGAAGAAAAAATATTATCAGACATACTGTGAAAATGTCCTTGCTCTGTTAAACATTATTTGGGAAATATCTATATAATAATAATAATAATAATAATAATAATAAGTCAGAATAATAATTCTGACTTCAACTGTATGTATATATATATATATATATAATTTTTTTTATTTTTTTTTTTTAAGAAATAAATAGTACAAATTACTATTACAGAGTTTTTTCCTTTAAAAAAAAGAGCAAAAAAATCTGTAGTGTAAGTAAAATAAACAATATTATCTATCTTATATTACTTGTTTTAAGGAAAAACTCATTTAATGTTGACCTTTTTTTCTGATAAACCAAAACAAAACTCTTATTATTACAGTGATATTCACAAGCATGGTGCACGCACTCTCTGGGGAAAAAAAAGGTGAAATGAAAGCATCAGAATATGCATACAACAAATGATATTAATGACAAATCCTACCACCTAGTGGTTATACTTTCTCTAGAAGAAAAAATATGATCAGACATACTGTGAACATTTCCTGAATCTGTTAAACACCATTTTGGAAAATATTTAAAAAAGAAAAAAATTCAAAGGGGGAATAATAATATTAGAGAGTTTTTTCCTTAAAAAGAGCAAAATAATCCGTGGTGTAAGTAAAATATACAATATTATTATTATTTTACTTGTTATAAAGAAAAATTCATTTAATTTTGACTTTTTTTTCTGATAAACCAAAACAAAACTCTCATTATTACAGTGATATTCACAAGTATGATGTACACAAAAATCAGGTGAAATGAAAGCATCAGAATATTCATACAACAAATGATATTAATGACAAATCCTACCACCTAGTGGTTATACTAAGCAAACTCAGAACTATATTTAAGGTAATTTACATACAGTTCTGGTAAAGCTGAGTTTGGTGTAAACAGCTGGAGGGAGGCGGTGAGTGCTGACATCTAAAAAGGGCTGCACAAAAACCCTAGGGCTTTGGCTTGTGTTTTATTCATGTCTACATCTACCCCTTACAGTAAGGGTCTTAAACTAAATTCTTGGAGGTTCTTAGCTCTGCATAGTTTAGCTCCAACCACCTCCAACTCACTCCTGCTCAATAGTCTCTAGTAGTCTTGAACACCTTGATTAGTTGATCAGCTGTGTTTGATTAGGGTTGGAGCAAAATTGTACAGAGCTGCGGACCTCCAGGAATCCAGTATGATACCTATGCCTTAGAGCAGGGGTGTCCAAACTCAGTTCCTGGAGGGCCGCAGCTCTACACAGTTTAGTTCCAATCCTGCTTCAACACACTTACCTGTAGGTTTCAAACAAGCCTGAAGGACTCAATTAGTTTGATCAGGTGTGTTTAATTAGGGTTAAAGCTAAACTGTGCAGAGTTGCGGCCCTCCAGGAACTGGACTTGACACTTGTGTTGTACAGTGTCACAAAAATGACCCTATAGTTATGTGCACTTCTGGCCACAAGGGGTCGTGGCTCTCTAGAAAGAATGTGGCTAATTGGGACCAGTGACCATGTTTTTTGTAGTAAAAGTGTGGTTATGCAAATGAAAGTCAAAGCACTGTTGCTACTACTGTTTTCATTTATTCATTTTCATTCAGCTTAGTCCCTTATTTATCAGAGGTCACCACAGTGGAACCACCAACTATTCCATCATATGTTTTACAAAGAAGATGCCCTTTCAGCTGCAACCCAGTTTTTGTATACCCAATTCCCCTACAGTGCATGTGTTTGGACTGTGGGGGAAACCGGAGCACCCAGAGGAACCCCACTCCAACACAGGGACAACATGCAAACTCCACACAGTCCAGCCGGAACTCAAACCAGCGACCCTCTTGCTGTGAGGCCACAGTGCTAACCACTGAGCCACCATGCCACCTGCTATTACTGTTTTACTATAGTAAAACCATGGCTACTGTTTGAAAGGGATTTAACAGTAATAAAGCTGTAATTAATACAATTTGAAACAAACTGATAAGCTCTTATGTCACTACACAGGAGCGCAGACCAAAGATGACATCTATTACCAACCTGAGAATCTGCCAAATGGAAACACGGAGACAACTAGAGAAGTGAGTCTCAGCTGTATTTATTCTACTGGGCTGTCGAATGCTTGATTCTGATTGGCTGATGAGCACTCTAAGGTGTTTGGTTATTGTCAGATAAACACACAGCTGAAGTAGTTCCGGCAGCTTTAGAGCGCATTACAGCTATATATCACTCCGCTGAATGATTTGAGTTATTTCACTGCTACAACAGTCAGAAATCACATCAAAACACAAGAAAAGGCTTTGTTATTAGATCATATCAGAAAATAATGCACAGTATGAGCAGTTTAAGCAGAATAATTGATCCTAAGCAGTTGAATTATTGTAATACTATCTACTAGTTGAGGTCGACTATGTTTAAGGGCAAATGCAGGAGCACTCAATGTAAACAGATGCAAATCACAACACAAAAATGATCATTTCATATAAAATCCTTTAAAAAAACCCAGAATAAAACGGTCTGACGTGTATATATGTGCAGTTTGAGTATAAGCAAAATAATTGACTTAGATCTGTTTAAATATTAGAAAATAATGTACAGAATGAGCTGTATATGGGGAATGATTGACTCCAGTCTGTTGAATTATTGGAAAATAATCTTCATTTATAGTACTTTAAGCTAAATAATTCACTCCAGTCCGTTGAATTATTCGAAAATAATGTGCAGTTTGAGTAAGGGGAACAATTGGCTCCAGCTGATTGAATTATTAGAAATTAATGTACAGTATAAGTAGTATAAGTGCAATAATTGACTCCAGCCCACTGATTATTAAATATATATATATATATATATATATATATATATATATATATATATATATATATATATATATATATATATATATATATATATATATTATAGTAGTATAAGGGTAATAATTGACTCTGGTCTGCTGAATTATATTTAAATAATGCACAGTAAATGTACTTTAAGTGGAATAATTGATCCTAAGCAGTTGAATTATTGGAAAATAATGGACAGTATATGTAATATAATTGAGATAACTGACTTAGGTCTGTTGAATTATTGGGAAAATAATGCACAGTATGAGTAGTATGAGCAGAATAATTGACTCCAACCCATTAAATTATTCACAAAAATAAATATGAGTAGTATATGAGTAATAAAATGACTACGGTCAGTTGAATTATTGAAAAATAATGCACAGTATGAGTACTATAAGCAGAATAATTGACTTCAGCTCATTGAATTATTAGAAATTAATCCACAATATGAGTAATTTAAGTAGAATAACTGACTCGGGTCCATTGGATTATTGAAAATAATGTACAGTATAAGTAGTATGAGTGCAATAATTGTCTCCAGCCCACTGAAATATAAAAAAGAAAACTAAATATGAGTAGCATAAGGGAAATCATTGACTTTGGTCTGCTAAATTATTGTAAAATAATGCACAGAAAATGTACTTTAAGTGGAATAATGGATCCTAAGCAATTGAATTATTGAAAAATAATGCACAGTATGAGTAGTATAAGCAGAATAATTGACTTTAACTCATTGAATTATTAGAAATAAATCCACAATATGAGTAATATGAGTGGAATAAATGACTTGGGTTCATTAGATTGTTGGAAAATAATGTACAGTATGAGTAGTATAATCATAATAATTGACTACTGCTCATTGAATTATTCATATATATATATATATATATATATATATATATATATATATATATATATATATATATATATATATATATATATATATATATATATAAATATGTAGTATAAGGGTAATAATTGACTCTGGTCTGTTGAATTATTGGAAAATAATGCACAGTATGAGTAATATAACTGGAAAAACTGACACATGTCTATTAGATTATTGGAAATTAATGCATAGTATAAGTAGTTTAAGCAGATTAATTGACCCTAAACAGGTATGAGTATGAGTAATATGAGTGGAATAATTAACAGTACATTGCATTACTGTAAAATAATGCACATCAATGCACATTATCGCCTCACCTTCTCTTGTGTGCCATGTTTTATAATAATTCAACTGCCCATCATCACTCTGTAAAAAATATCTGTTAGATAACAATATCAGTATTTAGTGTTTTGGGTTTATTTACAGATGTGAATTGCATTATAGGATGTTTAACAAAGTGACTTCTATTAACATGTTAGTTGTTTGAAATAATATAATGCATAAGAAATAATATCTAGAGAAATCAAAATTACAGAAAATGTACTGGCAGTTTATTTCAAGGCTTTAGGAGCGTAATATACAACACCAACACAGACAATATAGCACTGCACACTATTACACGTGCTCATAAAAGTCACTTTTTACAACTTTTCAAGGTTAAAAGTTATCAAAAGAAAGATTAAGACCCCATAGCGCAATTCAAAGGCATAAATAAAGCATAAATAAATAAAAACATGAATCAAGGAATATGGAAAACAGCTAATTTACGGATATTTTATACAGTGCAGTGCCACATGGTTATAGATTCTAGTCCTCTTCAGTATTATAAAATGATTTGTTTTTCCTCTGGTGTTTATTTCTTCTCCTCAGGCCTCTCATGGTGTCAGTGATTATGAAGAGATCAGCTCTTCTCTTAATAACCCCATCTACTCTTCAGTCTCTCCTGCTTTCAGTAAACAGGACGTCTCTGTTTATGCTGTAGCACAGTTACCCAGCAGCCCCTCTGATCATCTCAACTACTCCACCGTCAGGTTTTCAGCTTCACATCTTTCGGACAGGACTTCCGGTGGATTAGACACATGCGATTATGCCACTGTTAATGTCTAAAGGACGTCCAAACTCCAATATCTCCTTGTGTAAATGAGATCTTACTTGTTTTGTGATTACAAATATGTAGCTTTTGTATTATTTTGATGAATCAGTATTGGAGACTGGTTTACACACTGCAGGAAAGCTTACCTTGCTTTGATTTTTTTAAATAATGTCAAATTTAAGGGAGTTTTTTTTCCTAAAACAAGCAAAATAATCTGCCTATGCAAGTTATTTTGCTTGTTTTTAGAAAAAAGCGCACTTAGTTTTGACGTTTTTTTTGTAAACAAGTAAATCTTTTTTACTTGTCTAGTAAATGCATCTTAATTTAAAAATGTTTAGATGTTTAAATTAAAAACAAGGCAAAAACAGAGGTAAGAAAATGATTTTTGCAGTGCAATGCAGATGTTTTTTTTGTTTTTTTTTTTGTTTATTTATTGTCCACAAGCTATTAAAGAAGTAAACAACTGGAGAAAGGGAATCTTGTGCATTAATTAAAAATTTAAAATCAAAATAAAAAGAGCATTAAAAGTAAAAGTGAATGAGTAAATGACTGCGTGGGGTGATGGTCTTAATCGAGTAATAGAACCAGTCCAAGGCTTGTGAAAACTTTTGGGCATTTCTGTTCCTCATGATGTGAAGAGACTTAACGAACATCTTCAGATCATTCCTCCATCCATTAAAGCAGGGTTTCACCTTTACAAATTTGCATCTTTGAATGAAGTGTTTGGCTAGAATAATTAGGTTATTTACCAAAAACTCTAGGTCTTTGTCCTTTAAAAATATACCAACTTTGATTGAGACCACAGTTAAAGAGTATAATTTAATATGTTTGCAATGCAGCCAGTTCTGAAATTTCATCCAAAAACCTTTCATACCAGTGTAAAAACAACCCTAACATGAACATTGAGATACCCAGTAGCAGTGAATGTTAATGGTAAGTTCATCGACCGAACAAAAAAGAAATGCTACCCTTGCTTCAAAACTAGACTGGTATTATTGTGGTGCACTTCTTCCCAGTAATAATGTAGATAATAATTTATGATAAACATGTTTTTAAACCACATAGTAAAGTGTATAATGTGTACTACTCATTTGTTAATGAATGCAACAGAGAACCAGGGGCGTTGCTAGGGTCGAAAGGGATAAGGGGCTTAGCCCCAAAGAGTTTTGTTGTTGACTTTTAACTTAACATTTTGAAGCTTTGTGACTTGTAACACCAAAAAGGAAAAAAAAAACATTAATTAATTATCCCACTTCTCATTTACTAGTCTGTTATGAGCCATATCATACCTCTTGAGCCTCCTATCTCCTCTCCTGATTTGCAGTTTCTGTATGTTTTTTGAAAATGTAATATTCTGCATGTCTTCAAATCTAAAAAATATGATTTATTTTATATTGTGAGTTGTCATCCAATGTGATACAAAGCTACAAACATGTTCAGTTGGACAGAGTGATTAACAGGTGTAGTGTTGTCAAGATACTGGAATTTGTAAATTCAATACCTTGCAAAATATTGATATTCAATAGGCTACTATTTTTGACATAATAACAATTTTATCAAAAATAATACAAAAAAATAAAAATAAAGATTTATATGCTAAAAATATGTTTACTTCAAATTTCTTTTGAGGGTATTTTTTTCATTTTTCCTCAAAATAGAGTGATGTGGGCATTGTAGCACTTTAAATGCAAGTAATTCTCGTTTCATTCATTCATTGAGCAGAAATTCCAGATATGCCTCACAAAAGTATAGTAGAACCGTCCAGGAAATCCTTAATATGGATGAAGGCATCCAGCTATTGCTGTAGTTAAAAAAATGAAAATAAGATCTGAATAAGCATAAAAAGGCTTTAACTGATCATTTACACGACTGCGATAATACATGTTTATACAGTTAAAGTCAGAATTATTATTCCTCTTTTAATTTTCTTTTCTTTTTTAAATATTTCCCAAATGATGTTTAACAGAGCAAGGAAATTTTCACAGTATGTCTGATAAGATTTTTTCTTTTGAAGAAATGCTTATTCGTTTTATTTCAGCTAGAATAAAAGCAATTTTACATTTTTAAAAAACCCTTGAGGGTCAAAATTATTAGCCCCCTTAAGCACATTTTTTTCTGATAGTCTACAGAACAAACCATCGTTATAACTTGCCTAATTACCCTAACCTACCTTTAAAGCCTTTAAATGTAACTTTAAGCTTTATAGTAGTGTCTTGAAAAATATCTAGGCAAATATTAGATACTGTCATCATGGCAAAGATACAATAAATCAGTAATTAGAGATGAGTTATGTTTAGAAATGTGTTTAAAAAAATCTGCTCTCCGTTAAACACAAATTAGGGAAAAAAATAAACGGGGCCAATAATTCAACTGGGGCTAATCAAACTTCAACTGTATGTCTTCTTCCAGCCATCTCAGGTATTTTCATAAGAAAGTCGATTTATAATCCCCTGCTAATTGACATAGCATGTTACAGTAGAATGTAGCTATACAATATGCTAGATGCATGAACTCACTGTGATTTAACTATTACAGAAACAGATGTGACTGGCTATATTATATCTAGATAAATATGCCTAGATATCTATATCATATCTAGAAGACTAGAACAATTTACGTTTTTCTGACTAATTTGCATGTATGCATTGATATGATGCACATTTTATCGATTACAGTTATTTTATTTCACCAAAACTACACACATTTTATACTGTGGAAACAAATGTTAAACTTCATCAGTAGTTAGAACTATTCAGTTTCGCGAAAGAGTTGTATTATTACCTCATCAGCTTCAGCTCTTCAAAATAATGAATAAATAAAGTGCAGTGGCGAAATTTTTTTAAACATCATGTGACAACAGTGCCACTCCCACCTGCCGGTAGATACAGGTACTGCTGAACAGCTGACCCGACACAAACACTGCGTTAGGGGGAATGTGCGTGATGTACCAGTGGCGTAGCGCAATATGCAGAGGCCCCCCTGCAGGGATCGCTGACGGGGGCCCCCTGATGAAGGGGGGGGGGGGGGGATACGTCAGACGTCAATTTGCATATCACTGGCGTCATCACGTTCTACCGTTTCTGTTTGTTTAACAGCCTATGGTTAATAAAGGGGCATTTATAATTGCACTACACTTTATATAAGCATGTTTATTTAACTAAATTTATTGCTGTTTGAATACAGTATATCATTATAGATGTGTAACGTTAGTGAATGTGCAGTAATCTCTCATATGTAATAAACTCAGACAAGTTCAGAAACTGTCACTAAAATATCTGTGATTGTGAACAAGAAAAGAATAAACGCTCCAATTAAATTGTTAAAATAAAGTATAAGTAGATCGGTTAGACTGTACAAGGGAAATACCTTCACACTGCCTGTGCTAAATAATTTGTCGTCGGTACGCAGAGGGGTGATCTGCTCTCGGGCTGCAGGTGGGAGAGGCTGCTGTAGAGGACTGACTGGGCCGCCTGTCAGTGCTGTGAGGCGGGGGAGGGGCCGGCGGCATCACACGCAGCTCGTTGAGAAGAGTAGGGACGGTACAGTATGGACAAATGACAGTCTAAAAAAATCTCCAATAACACAAAATAAGTCGCTAGATTTGTCGCTAAGGGGGTCTGAAAAGTCGCTAAATCTAGTGACAAAGTCGCTAAGTTGGCAACATTGGCGGCAAGCTATCAGAATGAAGTAGTCCACCGCTTGAGAGGTGTTCAGAGAACACAGACCTGTGAACTTTGGTTCCGACCACAGTTGTTCCCAAGAGTTTGATTATTGCGTTCGCCGGTGGATTTTTAATTATTGAAAATCACGACGACGCGGGGCCCCCTAATCACGCGGGGCCCCCCCGCGGTGCGTGCCCTGCGGGCCCGTCCGCTACGCCACTGTGATGTACGCGGTAATTTTCAGTACTTAGATAACAAATTAAATGTTATACACCATTATATATACTTATATATTATATATACTTATATTTTTATTTAAGTGCAACATATTGCAAAAGATCAGGGGCTTTTGACAATACATCAGGGGCTTAAGCCCCCAAAGCCCCCCAAAACCACCCCCACCCCCGCAACGCCACTGCAGAGTTGTAAACTGATAAACTGGAATAAATAATGTAAGTGTAAACTGTGGTATATTGTCATGGTGTATAATTATAGCGTAGAAAACTGAAGCCTATTGAATAAATAATTACTACATTTGTTGTACCACAGCAACAATATAATAACTACGACAGTTTAACTCAAGTAATTATCTATACTATAGTATGCTTCCAATCACTAGTATTTACTATGGTATTTTTTCATGTAAGCAGCATCACCGCCTCAATGACAGGCACATATATTTTAGTTCAGTAATAAAATCGGCCGTCTTCATGATAGAAGAATCATGCCGAACATTTGTGGTTGTTTTTATTATATATCTCCTTTGAAATATGGTATAAATCGCAAAAATACAACTTTCCTCTGTGTCTCACATTTAGGTTTTTACTTTTTTTTTAATTTTTAAAAAAAAAATTTTATTAATGTCAGGGTAACAATAACATCATAGAAATGCAAGAGTGTACATGAGTTTTACAGAGGAGCAAATAAACAAGTAAGCACATAAAAAAGAAAAGATAATAAGAATAAAAAGAAAAACAAATAATAATACTTTATGTGTTAAGAAAATTAAAAAAGGAAAATAAGTTAACCGTTCTAATGGCTTTAAGATTTTTAGAGGAAGCAATAGTTCTAATGTACTGTTGAATTTCCTTTTCAAAAACAATAAAACAAGGTATACGCTGAGTGAATTTACAGCGGTGTATATGGAATTTAGCAAGGATTAAAAGGAGATTAATAATGAAATATTCCTTACTTTTATCATCAGGAGCATTAAAAAAACCCAGCAGGATATCTTTAAAAGATAACAAGAATCCTGGTAATATTTTACGATGAATATCTAAAGAAAGTTCAATCCAAAAGCATTGTGTATGAGGGCAACTCCAAAAAATATGGTCAGCAGTTTCATTGGGTATATTACAGAACGAGCAGCATGCATCTATATCTGATTTAAATCTTTTCAAAAATGTCTTGGCTGGGTAAAATCTGTGTAACAGTTTAAATGAAATTTCTCAAATTTTGTTAGTATTTAGGTTTTTACTTTCTACCCTTCATCTGAATTTCGCGCGTCACCGGACCACGTGATTAAAAACAACCTCGTTAAGCTCCGGCCACAGCTGCACCCCTATGTATGCTGTATGTTTTGAAAGCTGTCACGGTCTGTCTGGTAGAGAGATTTTCCTGGTGAGTATAACTTTTCAATGCTTTGTGGAGCCAAAGAACAGAATTTGATAGATAAAACTACGCTATTCTATGAGGCGACGTGTAGGATTTACATCAAACTTTGCTAGGGGGTAATTACATTATATTAAGGACAGCAATAGCAGCAGATTGATTTTATAACACCAGGTTAAACTTTCTGGCACATTTACAGCACTGACATACAGTAAAAAATTAAATGAAGAATAGACTTGGGTCTATTGGTGTGTGTGTGCAGCATTGCATTTATAACCACTGTATTTATAACAAGCTCAGTGGATATAGGCGGTCGCAAGTCACTTGCATTGTCATTTTGGGGGTCGTGGGCTGAAAAGTTTGGGAACCCCCCTGCTTTATAGAGTGTAGAGTCTGTTTGTAGATAAAGGCTGAAGCCTTTAATTTTGAGTTATACGATTTTAGAAAGTCTATTTTAGAGACAATAATTAATTAAACAGCTTGTGCTTTTTACATTTTTAGCGTTTTTATAATGATTAAAACACCTCACTGATTTAGTGTGTCTCATAGTGACGTTTAGCACTGATTTGAATGATTTAATAATATTTTTCAAATTAAAAATCTTCTTTAATGTTCTAGTAAATAAAAAAATGTAGTGCTGAATGTGTGGAAATAAACAACAAAGCATCATATTTGGTCATACTGTACTTTTATTTTGTAAAATACATCCTTCAATCATTTTCCTTTAGCTTAGTCCCTTTATTAATATGGGGTCGCCACAGTGTAATGAACCACCAACTTATCCAGCATATGTTTTACTCAGCAGATGCCCTTCCAGCTGCAATCAAGTACTGGGAAACACCCATACACACTCTTTCACACACAATCACACACATTCCCCTATAGCGCATGTGTTTGGACAGTGGCAGCCACCGTGACGCCCCTTAAAATATATCATGCAAAGTATAAATATGCGTATACTGTACATGTTTTAGCGACGTTGTGGTGAAGTAGGTAGTGCTGTCGCCTCACAGCAAGAAGGTCTCAGAGCCTCAGCTGGGTCATTTGGCATTTCTGGTTTCCCCCACAGTCCAAAGACATGTAGTAGCTACTGTTGAATTGGGTAGGCTAAATTGTCCACTGTATGAGTGTGAGTGTGGGTGTATGGATGTTTCCCATAGAAGGGTTGCGGCTGGAGGGTATCCACTGCGTAGAACATGTGCTGGATAAGTTGGCGGTTCATTCTGCAGTGGCGACCCGTATTAATAAAGGGACTAAGCTGAAAAGAAAATGAATTAATAAATGAATGTACATGTTTTCATTCATAAAGTATGTAAAACTGGCAGAAATCCTGCTGGTGAACAACTGGTACTTTCCATTTGCAAAAGGAGGATCTTTAAAACCACATTAAATAATGCTATAGTAATTCATAGTAAATACTAGAGTGTTTTTGAAGCATACTATAGTAAAGTACTGTAATTAATCTGTGATAATTCTGTTGTTGCTTTAATAACACAACAACTATAGCTATGCAAACAAATGACCCAATACTGTAGTTTTCTACAGCTATATAGTATTTTCTACTACATTACGCCAATTTACTGTAGTAAAAACTAAAGTATACTACAGTATGTATTAGTTTATCAGTTCACTATGGATAATACTGGAGGATGATGGCGCATTCATTAACAAAGAGTAGTAAAATCTATATACAACAGACTTTAATATGGTAAAAACACTAGTATTTACTATAGTATTACTGTGGTATTTTAATGCAGGGTCTCTAAAATATTCAAAAGTATTACTAAAATACATGGTAAACATTTGAATCCAGAATAGATGTGTCCTAGAGCACTAGCCGAAGTTCACTGAGCCATTAATCACAGAGTTGTGAATGACAGGAGCCTTTATGTTTCCTCCGCTAGCGTTTAAGTTCATTACAACTCCTGCAGCTGGACTCGGAGCGGTCGGAGGATTTCCACGGGATGATGAAGAGCCAGAATCGACATCTGAAACTAACAGAGAGACTGAAGTCAGCGCACAGTGCAGAACAGATGAGCTCAAAAACTAAAATTGCTGTATGCAAGTTTGACCGTTCTAAATCAGAGAAATACCATAATATGCTTGCAGATATATCAGAAACACGCTCAGTAAACATGCATCTGAGAAACAGAGCTAAAGTCATTTATTCTGCTTTGAGTATGTTAATTCTCTTTCGGAATGTCTATCTTTGATCTGTGTGACTCCGCCCACTGCCAGTTTAGCGAATTATATTTCAGTACACCAGGTTGCCATGGTGGTAAATGGCGTATTTAATTTCAGTCATGAATGCGTTCTCAATGTATGCAGACGCAGATGAAAATGCAGCCTCTAGAGGGCAGTGGCAGCCTCCGAAATTAGACAATAGGTGCGATCCCAAATTGCGTACTCATGCACTGCTCTACGCCATTTTGAAGTATTAATAGTGTAACATCATGTAAGTAGTGTGTTCACACTGCAAACTCTAAAAATAATAAGTACACTTTAATTACGCGGATAATGCACTCATTCAGCTGGCAAAATGAAGTGTGTAATGATGGACACTTCACGCACTCAATGGCTGCTGCTTTGCTCATGTAACGGAAGGGGCGGAGCTATCTGGCACTGATGTTAGAATAAGCTGCGGTCACACTGGACTTTTTCTCCCCATAGACTTCCATTCATACGCATGCGAATACGTCAGACCGGAAACGTAAGCTTGTGCGTCAAGTTTCGCTGATCGTTGCGTTGGAAAGTTCAAGCTTGGTGAACTCTGACCTGCGAAATCGTATCACTTGACTGCGAGAGACGAATCGAGGATCAAAACATGACCTCTCTGTACAGAAATTTTAAATATGGACCAATCGCTCGCTCTTTTTTTATTTCTAATCATTTTGTTTATTCCTGGCCATTTTTGCAACGCCGTACGACAGAATTTCGCAAGTCTAAACTCAAGTGTGACCGCAGCTTTACGTTATTTATTTTGGATGGTGAAAGCAAAATTCTCCTACGAGAGTGATTATAGCACCTCCTGATGGTGAATGCAGTTATACTCGTGGCAGGTGTTATTTGGTAGTTCGGTCATTTATGTCACAGATCTGGCAACCGTCAAACGTCATCAGGGAAAACGGTTTGAATTTCTGCGTAGTAAAAAACGTTAGTGCTCCATTTGGGACGACACTACAGTCATATACTATGCTGTTGAGTGTGTAAGTGCATAGGTACATAGTGTATAGTGTGCCATTTGGGACACAGTTATAGATTCACAATTATAAAAATTATTAATTAGCAAAGAATATATATATATGTGTATGAATATGTATATATACACACAAACACATACACACACACACACACACACACATATATATATATATATATATATATATATATATATATATATATATATATATATACACACACACACACACACACACACACACACACACATATATATATATATATATATATATATATGTATGTATATGTATATATATATATATATATATATATATATATATTCATTCATGCCTATTATCCGATGACCAGAAAGTGATTATTTTTCTTTTAATTGTTAAAATATTGGTGTCTGTGATGCAGCAATTTCAGAGGCTGTTGTGTACATCATGATTGTTATAAAATTCACTTTAACATGTGATTTGACAAAAAAAGTGGTCATAAATAAATCTTTTCTCAATTCAAACCAGAAGTGGCTTGGACACGGAAACAATATTCCTTGTCAGGCACGCTCGCTCTGTTGTATATTTGATAACCTACATGTGTGTGTTGAGAAACTCCAATATTTTGAATTTGTACTGCAGTACCTAGTTCAGCCACTAGCTGTCAATCCTATACTGCACCTTTAGACACCACCGCAAGTGTCTTCTTCAGCTGTTCTGCAAGGTTGTTTTGATTCATGCTGTGCAGCAGACGGACCGCTACCTTCCCTGCTTCTGAAGTGCCGAAATGCTGCTCCATGTAATCCACAACATCCTGCCTATCGGCATTCTCCAGTTTTCCTCGAGGAATGGAGTTTTCAAGGGTCTCCTTATTCGACAGACGCCATTTAAAATCTTTAAACTCGCGTTCCCGAAGTTCATCGAGCACATCAAGAATCTCTGTTTTGGTTGAAGCCATTTTGAGTCACTGTTGGGAAGAAACAACATTACAACAGTCTTGAGACACAATTAAGGCTGATTTATACTTCTGCGTCAAGCGCATGTGTATGGTCCGGCGCACCGTCGCATAGCCCTCGCCATGGCTGATGCCGACGTGCACCTCTCAAAAAATTTAACTACATGTCCAACGACGCATAGCACAAGCTCTGTGATTGGTTGGCTAGTGTGGGCAGGGCCGGAAGCCATGCAAACCCATTGGAGCTAATGTTTACAAGTGTGGAATCCTGTGAAAGAGCTTCAGATAGAAACTGTTGTTTTGTGTTTACCTTATGATTAAAGTTGTTTACCGTTTTATCTGGTTTGTACTGCTTGCAAGGTCAAATCCTAATAAGGCCCATTCTGTATGTGCGTCAGGCGTCTCCGCCATTTCTGCTGTAAGTTTCCACTACACATGTTCATCTAAAAATGAATTTCCATTACACTTATACAGTATTATACAAAATATATGCCAGAGTAAACATAAAAAAACATTAAGTAATTAAATATATTTTATTCCATAAGAATATTACAAGTCTTCTTTGCTTTTTTATTAACATGTTCTCCAAACTTGTGCAGTAGTCCTTATTCCCTTGAAGGAAGTGAACAAAATTTGGCTTTGATCCAGTCCATTTTTTATGCATATGAAACTTTCCCATGATAATAAAAAGTTGTACTAAAAAGGCTTTTTTTTTTTTTTTTTACATGTATTGACTTAATTCATGCAAATATCAAAATTTTGTAGCTTGAATACAATATTTGTTTTCCTTCTAAGAAAATTTTCCACATCCATGCAGAAAATCTGTGTATATACAATAACAAACATGTACAATAGATTCCTTTTTCATGAAACAAAAATCACAGAAATAATAAATATTAAAATTAAATCTGTCTAAAACCTCTTTAGCTGAGAGTATACAATGTCAAATTTCAAATGCAACTTCTTTTACTTTGTTATTTATACAATAAATTTCATAAGAACGCCAAGAACGTGTATATATATATATATATATATATATATATATATATATATATATATATATATAAATTTTACATGTGTATATATAAATTTCACATGTGTATATATAAATTTCATGTGTGTGTGTGTGTGTGTGTGTGTGTATATATATGTATATATATATATATATATATATATATATATATATATATATATATATATATATATATACACATATATATATATTCACAGTATGTCTGATAATATTTTTTCTTCTGGGAAAAGTATTTGTTTTAGTTTGGCTAGAATGAAAGCAGTTATTATTTTTTAAACACCATTTTAGGGACAAAATTATTAGCCTTTTTCAGCTATATTTTTTATCGAACAAAACATCATTATACTACAACTTGCCTAATTACCCTAACCTGCCTAGTTAACCTTATTAACCTAGTTAAGCCTTTAAATGTCACTTTAAGCTGTATAGAAGTGTCTTAAAAATTTCTAGTAAAATATTATTTACTGTCACCATGGCAAAGATAAAATAAATCAGTTATTAGAAATGAGTTATTAAGACTATTATGTTTAGAAACGTGTTGAAAAAATCTCTCCGTTAAACAGAAATCGGGGAAAAACTTATATATATATATATATATATATATATATATATATATATATATATATATATATATATATATATATATATACATATATATAAACACATCACCTGTTATAATATTTCTAATATACTTATTAGTATAACTTTATTTAATAATATCAATATTGCCTAAAAATAAAAATAAAAAAAAGGTTTTTTTAACATATTTTCCTTCTAAAGATTTATTGCCCAACTGTTTACTGCCCAACACTGGTCATCAAATTACAACGCATAAGATTTAAGTTTACTCAAAACACCATTAAACATGCAGTGGTGCAGTTTTGATGCTCGAAATGTTGTTTTTTTTTTAATATGGCAAGGCTGTAATACAAAACGTATCCACAAGAGAGTATCAGGATATTAATTTATAATGTGCTTTTTTGAATCACCGTGTGAATAAATTTACATTTCATACTTTGGATTTACATTTCTTCCTTTTTTTTTTTTTGCTTTTGAAATAAGTGTCTAGACTCTGCATTAGTTATTAGTGGTAGACTTTACATTACTGTCACAAAGTTAACAATATCATTCGCATTCTTGAAATATAACTCAAGTCTAATAATATATTTGCATCTATACAGCATGTTTCAGCTGCAGATCATGTATTTGTAATAAGCCTAATATAAAAACATGCTTGTTTATTAGTTTCAAACTTCGAGGAAACCGGAAACGGCCATTTGAAAACACTTTAAACTTTGTAAATAGCCTACCTTTAAGTACCTAAACTCACACGTGCACGCGCATAACATGATGCAATAACGCCATATTTAAATATTTGTAATATAAAACAGTAGCGTAGTCTAATGAGATTAAATGAGATTCATGTTGTACTTACGTTGCGAAGTTGTTGTTTCACCACTTCCTTTATGTTTCTCTGTCTGTCAGACCGCTTTCACTTTCGCTTTTTTCGCACACACCATCCAGAACAATTAAAATATGGTAATGATGCATTTTAATCAAAAGATTAATCAAACAAATTAGTATTTTAAATAAATTCGTATGTTTATCCTGTTTCTGTGCACGGTCTTTTTTAAAGTCTAGGCTATATGTTTGAAATAGTTTAAATGAGATTTAGACTACATTACTTGCAGGGTCATGACTGTCTACTTTAAACAGTCAACAAAATATTTTTATAATTATTGTGCACGTGTTTTATGGCCTCGTTTTAATTCAATAATTTCATTTTTGCATCATTTCGAGATCTATTAAAAAGTTAATAGTGGAGTGGTGAACAGGGAGGTGACATCCGCAGTGCAACAATATTTTTTGTTCACTAAACGTGACAAACGAGAGCAAACATGACTGTAAATAAAAAAACAAACACACAATAATAATAATTATTTAAGTAATAATGATAATTTAAATTAATGAGTTAATATATTAATGCTAGATGATACTAGCATAAATTAATTATATGCAAATAATTTACACATCCTAATTTATATTTTTAAAAGCACCTGGCTTCGAATAGCTGTCAATCAACTTCAACCGCCAATGAAATCAAACCGTAGTAGTTATAGTTGTGTAGGCCCCGCCCACACGCGTTCAGTTATTAACGGTTGACACCTGCAACGTTGTCAGAATAAACAAAACATTAGCGTCAAATATTAAACTTTGGAGACACTACACAGACGTTTTAGATAGAGTATACCGTCGATTGAAAGCTTTTAAAGTATCTCAACAAAGGATTATATATTTGTTCCGAGCATTTGGCTGCAGATTGAACGAGATGAATGAATCTGGTAAACGTTAAGGGAATTTTGTCGACAGACTGGATTTATATCCGCTACAGCTAACGTTACTCTGCAAACCGTAAGTAAATCACTTCATGACACTTATGTAAGTTATGCTAAGGGGTTTTGTTTAAATTTCTATCCATTTTTACGTTAGCCAACTGCAACAGTTAACGTTTACATCAAGCCCTTGCTAAATGTGGGAAATTGCTTTAGCATTCGGGGTGTTTTGCCACAATATTTGCATTAACAGATTATTCATATTTAGATTAATCTAGCTGCTGCCAGTTCTTGCAACACCCCAATTTCACTTGTACACTCCAACCTTAATGTTAAGTGTCCAAATAAACAGGCTTTTTCTTTATAATGTTAGACTTTATTATTGTGATAGAATGTTGATAAAAGCATTCATCTTAGGAAAAAGACAACATTTACTGGTACATTTAGGTTATCTGAGGCAATATTGCAAGTACACCTATCTGTAAATATAAAAATAAAGAATTAAAAAAATAATCTGATACATCTGAAAACATCTGAAAAGCAGTAGCTGACACTGAAATTGAGAAGTAGGTTTCACATATTAAACTGTTGAAATCTGATGACTTGAAGAAGCCAAGGTTGTTATTTAGAACAAGTAAGAAATGAGCTAAAGCTAAAACTCAATATATTCTTGTTTCAATTATTCCTCTTGACAATTAGTTTCGCTTTGAAAAAAAAAAAAACATCCACTGTCTTAAAATATTTGGTTATATAATTTTAACTTGAGAATTTTGATAAAATTATTATAAATTATTAAAACTATAACATACAATGGGCATATTTTATTAAAATAATATATTTTACTAGTCATATATGTTTTTAAAACCTGTATACTCTCTTATAGGCATGGGACGATAACTGTTTTTTAGGTATACGGCGGTTTGGAAAAGTCAAAGCTTTAAAACTGCCAAAATTTTCTGTAATACTGTTCCTAAGGTATGTGTAAGTTTTTTTCATTTACTTTTTTTAGACAATAGTATTTTCAGCAGAAAAAAAAATATCCAAAGATGCTGTTTTAAACTGTAAAGAAATCTGTGTTTTGGAAACATGAAGACAGCAGAAGTCAATTATTTATTTGAATTATTTAGCCTGACACATTTACGGTTCCAAAATATCTTCAAAAGATCAAAAAAATAAAATATATTGTTTTAAAAATATTTTTTTTAACCCAGATATTTAAAAAGAATATGTTTTAGAGCAATAATCACAATACTTTGAAACCGTGATATTTTTATCCAAGTTATCTTATCATCAGAATCTATTTCCAGCCCATGCCTACTCTCTTAAAATAAATGGTCTTTATTGGCATTGCTAGTTCTCCAAATAACATCCATAGAACTTTTTCATAGCAAATATTAAGTGGAAAAGGTTTTTTTTAATCGTCTTTACAAAGAAAAAATGCTAAGAACTGTACGCTGAAGTTATTTGGGGAATCAAAAATGGTTAAAAGATTTATTTTTAATGTGTGCACCTTGCAAACTGTAAACCTAGCGTAAACCATGAACTGTAAGAGTCACTGTAAATTAATAATTTGTAGAAAAATACCGAAAACTTTGTTCTGAAAATATCTGAAATTAAATTACAGTAATATTAGATTTGTTTATTTCTATTTTAATCTGTGGACACATTTAGTTTATATAAAATAAAAACATTTACACTGGAAACTGCGGTGTTCAAGAAAGCTTAACAAGCTGCAATTAAAGAAAACGTGTGCATTTACAAAAAAACGCCAGCAAATTAAGAAAAGATCCTCATCGGTTTGCAAATCCTTACAACACAAACAAATTAAGAAAACACACTGGCTTTTCTAACAACATGTGCAAAATAGCAGGGAACACGATGGAAATGTTTCAAGGGAACCCAAAAACATGATTGGTCTGGCTGGGATTTGTTTATTGTGCCAGGAGTACTATTGCTCAGTGAAGTTGCGGGGAATCTTTAAAAGTCTTCTTTTTTTCTTTCTTTATTTTAACATCCTCATTACACCGTTCCCTTGTCTTTTGTTAATTATTAGCCTAAATAATCATAAATAGCTGGGTCTGTCATGTTTTAGGGTCCCCTTGAAACATTTCTATTGTGCGATTTTTGTAATAGCATGTGTTTTCTTATATTACAGCAAATTAGTGTTGTCATGATACTGGAATTTGGTACCAATCGATACTGAAATATTAAAACAGATACAGGGACACTGGAGCATTTTAAAGCCGTGATTCATCAGCAGATCGCTCGTATTTCAGCTTATAGACGAACCAGCTGATTGACGTGACTTTGAAACGCTCCAGTGTCCCTGAATCTGTAGTTAGAGACAGTAAACAGCAGTGAGTTCAGTAAGCTGATGACCTTCACAGCCAATCGCAGTCATTTCTGTTGAGCACATGAACACAATGGCAAATCAGCGCTGTTTAAGAACGCACTCAGCGCTTGAATGTCAGCAGGAAATTAATGTTTTTAAAATTTCAGTATCGATTGGTACCAAATTCCAGTATCGTGCAACCTTACAGCAGGTTAAGCTCTCTCAACCACCGTTTAAACCATTGACCTTCAGATGTTTTTGTGGACAGTGATGGTCCTTTAAGTTAAAAACTACTGCTACATCTGCGTCTATCTTTCATCTGTCCAGCGACGTTTCTCGTTCTCTTGTCCCACATCACTAATATTCATCATCATCATCAATGTTCAGCCCCAGGGTCCTCCTCCACCTCCACCATCGTCATCGTCATCATCATCATCCCTCTTTTTCTTCTTCTTCTTCTCGTCCTCCACTTTATATTTGATTCTTCTGATGGGGTCGGTCATGCTGCGCATCTTTCCCTCATCAAACTCCTCGTTCATCATGAAGTTTCTGTCGATAAGCTCCGCTCCCTCCTGCCAGTTGCGGAAACAGTCGGTCCCCAGCGTGCAGATTTCAGACACTGCGTTCGGGGAGAGAACCGAGCAGTCGGGACGCAGAACCACCACCCTCGGCAGATCCCGCACCTCGAACATCACACCCAGCTCCCTGATAAACACACACATCAGCAGCACTGAGCAGTGTTGAAGAAACACAGTGCAAATAATGCAAGTTGCATAATAATATTACTTTTATGAGTGATTAATAAAATAACGCAGTATTTAAAAAAAAATAATAGAGTTGCTTTTTAAAAAATCAATGCAAGTTAATTTTTATTTTAATTAAATAAATTACTGAATTAAAATGAACAGTCATGTCACGCACTTAACAAGAGAATGTGCTCATTATTTTCAACTCATGGAAGAAAAGGAAAAGGGGACTGTCTCAATGGACAGATTTTACTTCACCTATTAGTCAGAAATACAAAGGTAGCAAACACTGCTTTATACTTTCAACAATCTGTATATACAGCATGTAGAGCTCTAGGTCATGCAGTTCTTAGTAGATAACATCCTAAATTATCATTTTAATGTGTTTTTTTTAGGTAAATTAAGGTAATACAGTGTGTTGTTAATTGCAGAGCTTCTATATTTTTAAAAAACTGTAAGCTCTAAAATAATTAATCCTCACCAAAGGTCAGGAAAATTAACTCAAAAGTAACTCAAAAAAGTAACGTAATGCCTTACTTGCCATAAAAAGTAACTACTGTAAGTAACACTAAACTACTAGTAAGGAATATTGTAATGCAATTTATTTCAAAGGTAACTACAATAGTAATCACAATAAAAGAAATGTAAATACACATTACAAAATTAAATGTAACTAATTGAAGTTTTATAAAGCATTCAATATAACTTGTATACATTTTTTTCGAAAATCTAAGATAAACTAATATTATGAAAATAAAGTCTACGTATTCATCAAAAATATAACGCATGCTACCTTGAAAAATAATTTATGTAATCACCAAAATCTATATTAAAAAGCTATTCTGAATATAGTGTACACGATCACCAAAACGCAAAATATGATATTGTGATACTGAGATGTGCACAATTAACATGTTATTCTGAAATAAGCTGCATACAGTCACCAAAACTTCTGAAAATGTGTACACAATCAGCAAAATTTAATATATACTATACTGAAAATGTGTACAAATTGTGAAATTAAATATGCTATTGTGAAAACAAGTTATACGTATTCACTAAAATCCACAATTTGCTATTCTGAAAATAAGTTAGACTTATTTACCAAAACCTAATATACGAATTTCTGAAAAAAAAGGTAATTTGCAAAACAAACAAACAAAAAAAAGCTAATCTGAATATACGTTTTCGTCTGTTATTCTAAAAATGTGGAATCGTCAACCTAAATTACGATATTCTGAAGATATGTGATATGCATTCGGCAATACCATAATGTCAGAAATTTGTATTTTAAGTTATCACCAAAACTTAAAAGATGCTATTCTGAAAATTAAGTTTTCGCCAAAACCTAAAATAAAAATTTCTGAAAATGAGCTGATCACCAATTCTTAAAACATGCTGTTCTGAAAATAAAGGTTACGTTTTTTTTCACCGGATATTTAGAAAATGTTAAAGCAATTTTCAAAATCTAAATTAGGATATTCTGAAAATAAGGTTGTACACATTTGTCAAAACCTGATATCCGTTCTTCT